ATTGTAATATCCCTATTGAATGTATAGTCGACATGTTACATGAAGCTTTCTTCGGAAAGCAAAAACGACTTACATAAGAGCTGAAAGTTGTACCATCAGGCAATTTCACACCGCTGAATGTGCTGATTTGAGCACTAAATAGGCTTGATATACAACAACGTTCTGATTCATTCATTTTGGATTTGGTTGGTAAACCATTCGAAACAGTTGCAAAAAGAGCAATAGCAGCGAAAATTGTGAAGTAGAACATGTTGTTGTTGCTCAATTGAAATTTGTGAGTCGATCGGTATGAAGCAGTTGGGTGCATTTTATTTATACCGAATGGAAAGATAATTCAGATAAATATTTATAATAGGATTATTTTATTTTTCCTAACCATTCATATTGACACTGCACTCTACATTACACCATTTTTCTCGGACTCTGGACCACAATCGCTTCTTATAGTATTAGTTGTGAAATACATATGGCATTATTGGAAAAGATTTACAAGATAACGTGAAGAAGTGTCAGATGGTGTAAATGTATAGGACAAATCAAGCATCCTTTTTATTATCAATTTAAAAAATTAAGTTTCTTCTTCAAAAAAGTGTCCAGACAATTCCCTTTTATAGACAAGACAATATTTTCAAAGATTCAGTATAAAAGCTAGAAATATTTGCAAAATACGATATTAGTACTATTCATACGAACATTGAATCGTGTTTCTCAAAAAATTGATATTGTCTGCAAGAAAAAATCATTTTTAAACAATAAAAACATATTTATAACCACGATGAAATACTAAGCCTATTAATGCCACTTTAAAATATCAAGAAAAAGCGATCGAATTTCTCATTTTACAAGTGCTAGCAAAATATTATGTATGGTTACAGAAGAAGACACCTTTTAGCTCAGACAGATTTCAATACAGTATGTCACTTCTCATTTATGCACACGTTCCAAAAGCCTGAAAATGCTATTTTCTTCTGAGTTCACCCAGTCCATCTTGAACTAGATCTCTCTAATCTTAAGTTTGTTGAAAAGATCTTAATATGAAATGTTTGTTTGTTCCTTTGTTTTGTTTATAATTTCAATTATTCAAGTCTTCTTTTCTAGTATATATTCCAAATAAAAAAAAAGAACCAACACAAACGTCATAATCAAAAGACGAAAAAGAAAATTCGTGGTTGAACGTTTAACAGCTTTAATCATTTGTTTTCCAATTAATCTACTTGTTATTTTTTATCTTTTTCAGCTGTAGATGATTGTTGTTTTTGCCTATCAGCTTCTAATTTACTCTGTTCATCCTCATACTGTTTAATCAAAGTTGTTAATTCGTCATCTTTCAACATTCGAATTGTTGTTTGATTTGTTTTATCATCATGCTGTAAAACAGCGATTTCAATTTTTTCAGGTGTTAATTTTGTTGTATCAAGAGTTTTACTAAATACTCTTATAGCTAAACGTAAAGCATCATTTAATTGTGTTTCACCTATTTTATATTCTTGTTTAAGAATCGATATAGCCGTTTGAGAATTATGACCGACACATGTTGCTTTCCATCCACCATAATTTCCACTTGGATCCGATTGATATAATTGATAACCATAATGTTTATCCCAGCCCATGTAAAGAAACGATACACCAAATGGACGTTTACCACCGTATTGTGTATACGCTTGTTTTATATTGCATAAACGTGAAACAATATATTCGATTGGTGCTGGCTCTTGATATGTTAATAAGTATCTAAATAGAAATCTTTTGTGGTGATTTAATTTTGTTTTGCAGTCAAACATACCGTTGTCCAATCATACGCAATTCATTAATTAAAACATTAGCATCGCTGGTTATACCAGAGACTGAACAACAAAGATCATCATGAATTTTGTATATCTTTTCTGAATATTTAACATCGTCAAGTAATGGACTTATATTACGTTTTTCACCGGCAAGTACAACGCCATTTTCAGCAAGAATACCTAATGAAGCACCAGAATGTGATATAGCTTCTAAAGCATATTCGACTTGATAAAGACGACCTTCAGGAGAAAATATTGTTGCACGTGTATCATATCGACGAGCCATTGTTGTTTTCAAATCTACAACCGATGAAATATTCATATAATGACATACATTTATACTGCGTATATAAGACACATTCAAAAAAAAAACAACGAATTGATAAGAAAAAATTGTACAGCGACAAAACACATATTGAGATTTATACAAAATTTGTTGCATTATTATTGAGGATTAATATCTAAATGACGACGCTTTGGTTTTTTCGGATTGCGTGAACGACTTTTAGCTTTGCAAATAGGACAAATAGGTGCATTGCGATGAATTTGTTGCTGACATGATTGACAAGTCTAGAAATACAACAAAGATTTAAATCTACTTTATTTATTTATTGTACAAGCGCTTTGAAAGTTCAATTTTTTTAAACTATAAAATGGATCTATGGGCATTTTACTCGTCAAGAAACTATATTCCTCTTTCAGTTTGATAGGAATTTTGATCTACCTTGTTTTTGTTTGCTAAGGAATACTTGATCTAATAGACTTTACGTTTCCATGATTATTTACAACAGCTTCAAATGATTTCAGAGAATCACAAAGCAAAAGTTTACCTTCATTGGTGGTGGTTGTTGACGAAATGCTGAACGATCGATGTTAGATCCCATACCACTTAGTACTTTAGATGCATTGATTCCTGATGCTTGTGATTGATTATTATTCGATGATCCTGTTGAAATAGGACCAACATTCATTGAATTACTCATTTGTTGTGATGGATGAATAAATGGTGAGATTAATGGATGATGTTGTTCGTTATTATTATCTGATGCTGTTGTTGATGAGTGTAAATTTCGATTCGATGCCATTGGATCATGTTCAGTTGATTGTTGCGCGATTAATCTAGAAAAGACATATTAAAACGAAAACATTTCTTTCAATAAGAATCGACTTACTGCATGGTCATTAAGGCAGCTTCATCTTCTTCGTTATCTGGAACTTTTTCAAGATTAAGAATATCTCGTAATTTATTTATTTGTTCCTTCATTGGTTGATAGTCTTTTAGTAGACGTTTACTTTCTTGTAGTATTCTTATTCGTTCTTCTTCAGCTTGTTTTATTGTTGTTTCCATCTTAGAATAGAAGGGAGAAAAAAAGAGGTGAAAAGAAATAATAATTTTTCTTCGACATACAATATTAATATCTGCATGAATCAATCTTAATTCTTCAATGTGCGACATACGTTCCTGTACGAGCATATCCAATTCTTTACGAAATTCACGTAAAACTTGATTTTCGCGTGTAACTGTATCAGTATTTTGACTGAGATTACTTTGAATACGTTGTAGTTGATTTTGTTTATCTCTATTGAAGACAACAATAAAGTTAAACGATGAAAAAAATGCGAATAAATATTTAATGAGTAACAAACCCTAGTTCTTTTATTAAATCAAGTTTACGCATTGATACTACTAGATCGCGTTCGTCAATCGATGATGATGATGAAGGAGTTTTTTCAGTTGGATTTTCCATATTAAAATTTTTTTGTAAAGAACTGAATGGAATCTATTACTTCAATGGATCGATGATCGAAACAAACAAATAAAGGTCAAATAAAACGATGGCCAATCGAATGAGATGGCGCTAGTATCGATATTGTTTTAAATAGCGTTGTGTTATTCTGCATAGAGGTGGTTACCATGAGTGATTGAAATAGCAATGATAGTTATTGATTAGAGAGGAAACGACAATTAGAAATATTCACTAGCATCTCAAATATTAATCAACAATGAGTATTGTTGAAGTTCATCAACAGGAAACGAATGGAAATAAATCTAATAGTGCTTGTGTTTTACCACAACTCCGAGGTCTTTTTTATTTTTCTCTATCATTGATTACTATTGAGTAAATTTTCCGTTGTAACTATTTAGGACAATCGCAAAGGCCAACTGGTCGAGCAGAAAATGATTTTCTACCACATGAACTTATGGTTGCATTACGTCAAACAGCTCTACCAGCTGAATATTTAGGACCACCAGGTGTAGGAAATGCAAATAAACTTTTACGACAGATGCCACCCGTAAAAATAATTTATTCTCGATATACTGATTCTTTATTGTGAATATAGGGAGCTTCACGTCGACCAGATAATGCTTGGCATTTTCCAAGACAACGAGATAAATATCGTTTTTTACTCGAACAAAATCCATGTACATGCGGAGCTGGCCAGTAAGTTCTGACTATGATTTTATATGCCTAGAGTTAAAGTAATGTTTATTTAGTGATATATCATTTCTATGCGAAGTCGCAACAACTACTTTGACTCAGGAACAACAAAGCAAGCCATCTGCGTCACAACGAACAACTGATAAAAGTGCTATACGTGCTAAGAAAAATGAAGCTCAACCACAACAAGTTTGTTATATATATATATATATATATTCATACGTTTAACATAAATCGAACTTGATGAATATTTAAATCTAGGATATCATATTACCTGAATCAATAATACCAGATGAATTTCGCTTAGTTAAAAATGTCGGTGTCACACCCATCGAAGTTTATGATGAGTAATTATTCGTGTGTCCTAAATTTACTATTAAATAATCATACTGATAAATGTCTATATCAATAGAAAACACACAACTGTGACGGAAGAACATGTCAATCATGTAACCGTATTTCCATCTTTGTAAGAAAATCGATTTGAAGAATTTTGTTAGGATATTTAACTTTTCTTTTCATAGAAAACCCGTTGGACGAACACAAGTATTAAAATTAAGACATACAATGGATGCACTATTAGAAAAGATCACCATTGAAGATTGTGATTTACATGGACAAACTCAAGTATTAATGGAAAATTGTTTTTTTTTTCATTGACAATACAAAAGGTTTCTTTTTCTTTTTTTCTATAGCTTCATAATCTACTGGAATTAATTAAAGAAGAACAAAACATTTATAATATTGTTTTTCATGAAATAATTCGTCAAGTAAACTTTGAAAATTTTCAATGTTGACTTATGCAAATCGTTTTTACTTGTCAAGGTCAGTGTTGAATGTAAAGATCGTGGTGAATTATTATGTAGATTGCGTGAACGTTATTCATCTCTATTATCACGTGTACCTCGACAAATAAAAAGGTTTAATTAAATATTTTATTTTATTAGAAAAAGGAATTTTTTTATTTAATATATTTTTGTTCTTTTGATTAGTCTACATGAAGAACTAATTGCACAACGTGCACTTGATCGTCGTCTAGCTGAACAATTAATTCAATTCAAAACAACTGTTGGTACACTTATGTTGTATGTTAAAATATTACTGTTGTTTTCTTTGATTTATAACGGCGATTTTGAAACCATATTTTTATTTGTGTTGGTGATAAACCAATACGCATTGCTATTACTGAACGTTCTTGTGCTGAGACATATTTTTGTTCAGCAAATAAACGTTCTAATTCAGCAACTTGCCATGACGTAAAAAGAATTCGCGTACGTTTTTTATCAGGAGACTTTGAGTCTAATGAGTCGGATTGTATTGATGTACGATCGATTTTATTTGTATTAGAAACTTTGGCAGCACGAAGTAATGTTGCATAATCACAAGCTTTTAAATCAACTAAAACAAAAGAAAAAAAAATTAAATAGTTTTTCATGGAAAAACGAGCATATTGAATAAAATAGTTTAAAGGTTTTCAGCTACTTGCATTGATGAACGAGAAGATTATCTCAGACATCTGTGTTTCGAGATGTTTGCCGATTGGGATATCGAACGATACAGCAATTATGTCTTAATTTGATCTTAGAGCAATCAAAATCACAGATTATTTTCTTATTCTTGTGATGAAATATTCCCCCTCCTATTGTACTTTTGAATTGCTGTTAGCGAGACTTCATCGAATTTTTTTCCCATTATTTGTATGCGAATTCAATAGGTGTTTATTTAATTTTGACAAATGAGTGCTCACAGATGGTATGAACAACAGACGATTATTCGAAGAAGACTTGTATCGAACGATTTTAATAGGCAACCAATTAATTTTTCTTCGTAGTTACTTGTTCGCTGGAAAATAATTTATTCATGCAAACTATTTCCTAACGATAAAAAAAGCTTTTCTAAGCTAATTATTTTTCCATGAAATGTGCAGAATTTTGACGATTCTTTTTTTTTCCGAGCTACCGATAAAAATTGTTTAATTTTATTTGCGATCAAATTAGAAAATTTCGGATAGATTGTATTTCAAAAGAAAATTACCTTGAATAGGCAATGGGTTGCATCGGATAGGTTTAGGTTTCACGATTCGATGAGATGAAAATGTAGTCGACATAAGTATAAATATATGTATGTGACAATAGCACTCGTCTGTTCTTTAATGTCTTGATAAAGAGAAAAACCCATCATTGGTTTATGCATATAGTTTATTTACCTTTGTCCATATGTTACTATTACGCGTTAGCTATAAAAGCAATTCTCGAACAATTCAATTCTAAGACGCATACACTTGTTCTGTGACATGTAAACATAATTAATCTCATAATCATACTTGTCTTTTGTTTGCTTTTGCTTCTAGGGAATTGGAAGATGTTCGTGAACATGATCGACGTGTTACTGAAGAAGCTGAAATAGCTCAAAGAGATGTAAGCTTTGTTTCTTCTCTTCGTTCTATTTTTTATTCTCATATTAATAATCCATCAACTTCTAGTAAATTAGCCTATTATTATTTTTTCTTCTTCTATAAATCAGAGTAAGCGCTTACAGCTCTTTAATTTGCTCGTCTAATTATCAATAATAGTAAATAAATAAACAAAACATTTTTTTTTAGCTTCAACAAGCTTTAACTGAATCTCAAAAGAATGCTTCACTTCTTACTGAATATCATGAATTGTACGATTTACAACGTAAACGTTTGGAAAAACAAATCAGTTTGATTGCATCCGAAAAGGAATTATGGCGTGGAGCAGCACATACTATTGCTCTTAAAGTAGGTCTATTTTTCTTTTAATTTCTTCTTCCAAATGAAAACTTATGTTTCATTCTAAAGGTTATTGTTGAACATAAATTAGCCACATCAAAACGCTTAAGTCTTGCTGAACAAACCTGGTATACACTAGCTACTCATTTTTCTATTTATCTCATGGATAAAGATACAATTGAATTAACTGATGTGCACAAATCTGCGAATATATGGCGTGAAGTTGTCGAAACATTTGATCGTGAACAAGGACAACGAGAATTTGAAACAACAAAAAATCTTACTCGTCTCATTAAATCGATTGAAACACTTCGAATTGCATTTCGACAAGATCATTTGTAAGGTTTAGAGAAAATGTGTTCTTGCAAATATTTGCTTTTCGCTTTTTCAAAGTGATCTCGAAGGAAAACTTAGTCAAGTACCTGATCCACGAAAAGTAATTGAGTATTTAAATGAAATCAAACGATGGGAAGATTCATGTACGCATGAAATAGAAAAATTCGGTGGCGATACTGTACTGATCAATGAAGAACGTATGAAAAAAGCCGATAGGCAATTAAAAAAATGGATTGATATGACTGAACGATTACTTAGTCGTCATCCATCGACGAATAGCGGAGATAATACTGAACAGCAAGCACTTCGAGATCTTTTTGAGGTGAGTATTCGATATGAGCTAATAGAAAATAGTTTTGTTTTTCTTTATCTTACAGAATATTTCAATTTTACATTCACAATATCGTATACGAATGACGGGAGAAAATGGTTTAGCTCAAACAGTGATATTTTTTAGCAATGTACTTGAATCATGGAATAGTAAATTTAATACCTATGCTTATACGGGAGGAAAAATAAGCGAAGGTGAATGGTTAGCATTTTATTCGCAAATGGATGAATGGCTTGAAGGAATTAATAAAGCAGTAGCTTTTGTTGGAAAATCAACGAAAGATAGTAGTGATGAACTTGATGAACAAAAGAAAGGAAATGCCGTTAAAAATGTGTAAGTATCAAATTTACGTTAGTCCCATGTTTAAAAATCGATTAGAAGATCAGATTTTCCGTTTCGAAAGGCTTGCTAAGAAGGGAAATGAGAGACTGATGCAATAGAAAATTTCCGATGTGTGACGCCCACGTATGAGCCATTTACTTATAATGTGCTGTGCATAAAAAAGTCATTATCATCAACTGAAGCAGGCATCGAAATGAAAATAAATGCTCGTTTAAAAATCATAAAGCAAAACTATGATCTTCTCTAGAATCGCTACAAAAAAAATATTTTCTTTCTAGTGTGGAAGCTACAGCAGTATTACAACAAGCTAACAAGGGTCTTGTTTCTCTTCGTCATTATGTTGAAAGTCATAATGGTCGTATTACAGATGAGGTAAATTATTCTGATTGTTCTCAGTAATCAAATAAATGTTCTCTCGTCTGCAGACTCTTCAACTCGATTCAAATATGGTTCATTGGTTGATTCAAATTCTTATTGATCTCGCTCCCAATCAACCTAAACTATCACGAGAAGGTCTTGATCATCTTGAAGCTAGTCGTGCATTAACTGACAATTTAATTAAAACGCAAAAAAAACTTTGTGAACAAATAAATTCCATAACAAAACATATTGTCAAGTAAATAACACAATTTTTCTTTTCAAAGCTAAAATGTGTTTCTTTCCCTAATAAACTCTTTTTTTTTTGTCTAGATGTTGTGCAGCGTTGACTGCTGAAGAAATGTTCACTAAACAATTACATAAAGAAAGTGATGCAGAAAAAGAAGTACTCGATTTGAAACGTATGCAGGTAATCATTCTTTTCATTTTCTTTAAAACTCAAAAAAAAAACATAAACGACGATTTTAAAAACATGAAATTACTTATTATACCTAAGCCGACAGGTATTATTTATTATTGTATTTTCTATTGCTAAATTTGCGTATAATATTTTCGGTTTTTTCTATGTGTCGAAATATAGATCAAGCTATTTAAATAAAATTATATTTATCTATAGGATGAATGCTATGATTGGATCTATACATCGAAAATTCTCTTAGCTGAATTGACGAATGATGAAAGTTTAGTCGATACGAGTCCACCAAAACGTGAGGTTGAACGTCCATCAACAAAAGATCAATCAGATTGGCCTGATATTTCAAGCGAAAGACGAAAAGTATAGCGAATTAGATTGCCTATTAATACCATTATTAACTTCTTGTTCTTTTTCTTGAATAGGACGACGATGATACCATAGGAGCTGAACATGTATCTTTCGAAGCAATAAGCCGTGGTGGTCTAACAGAACGACGTCGGCTAGGACGATCCGGTGGCGATGATGATGGAGCTAGTTCAATAGCTTCGAAATCAGCAAAAGTTGGCTTTGATGCATTACGAACCATTGCACAATTACAACAACAATTAGCGTAAGTCTATAGTGAAATCGTTCTTCTTCTTTTTTTTTTATAGATATTAATGATAATTCGTTATTATATAGTGAAGCAGAAGCACGTGCTGCTGGTTTACAAGAAAAATCCATGTCTCTTGATGTAGCATTACGCGATGCTAATCAACGTATTCAACAACTCGAAGCAAATCAACATGTTGAAAAAAAATGATTATTTATATATTTTTCACAAATGTTACTGCTGGTAGTTTATACGAAAAAAAAACGACTAACCAGACCTTATTTATGCCTTTATTTTCCATCTTATTTTGTTTTTTGGTTCGTACTAAAAATAGTAGCACTAACTTTTCTCTAAGGATATTTACCATTCATCCAAAGAAAAAAGAAATATTGCAGAATTGATAAGATCACTAAGTTAAACATGATAAGATTGATTCGTAAAATTATTATATGCACAATTTCCGATAATTTTTAAATAAAATATTTTATCGTAATGCGATCTTCACTTTGTTTTCTGATGTTACGAATTGATTGCGCACATTGCCTTTCTGAATAACAATTTATCCGATATACTACGTGTGTGCGACAAACGCAAAGGATATCTGATATTCCATCATTTTTTTCAAATCACATAATGCACTGAGTAGATTTATAGTACTACTTATACAAAGTTGGTTTGTCATCATTATATGTACCGAAATCTATTTTTATTTGAGCCAATTATTCTTGCGTGGTGGTTATTCAATCATAGTGCAATTTTATTCATCAAATTGTGTGATCAAAAAAAAAATAGAATATCAAACGTCAGAGGAAAAAAGAACAAGAGATATAATAAAGGAAGAACTGGGCACAGAAATAGTTGCATCTATCTACATTAGAAAAATAATAATCAGAGCAAATGGATAATCTACAACTATTTGTTTTGTTATTTCTGACTAGAATAGAAAAAATATATGTGTCTTATATTAATCGGTACGGAAAAATTGTTTAGTTTTAGTTCGTTTTGTGCTAACGCGCTCGTACAGGTAAACCATAAATAACCGGTGCAGCGCCATTTAAACATTTTAATTTACATAAATCACGACCATGTCGTAATGCTTCACCAAGTGATGCACCTGCTTTAAGTTGTTCAAGTAGAAAAAATGTTAAACCATCTATATCACGATCGGTTACATCCCATAAGCATCCCAATATTGTTGCACTAGAGGAAAAGGACAAATCGGAATAGTGTATTAATAAGGAAAATTTTCATAACAAAATGTATCTTCCTGCTCCTAATTTGATTTATTTCTTAAATTGATTTAAGAGCTCACGACATCAAGGCAATTGAATTTTTCTGAAAGATATTTCATACGAAGATACACAGCCTCAAGAAATCAATGACCTTTAGTCGTGATTATTTTCAACTGGCGAATAAAAACACTGCTTACAGACTCTATTTAATCAAGAGTTAAAATAAAATAAAATAAATACATACGCTCCACATGTTAAATAAGCAAATGGCATTCCAAATACTTCGAAATCTCCTAAAGATTGTAGTCTCGCACTCGAACAGCCCATTAATAAAACGCATAAACGAGATGAATTCTTTTGTACATCATCAACTGGATAGAATTGACTACCTGAACCATGACCCATATATCTAAAAAATATTCAAATAATAAAAAAGAATTCATTTTTGTTTCACTTCATAAATTCTTTAACTTACAATAGTACATCTTTTGATTTAAATATATCTTTAATCGCATCATTGGTGGGAAAACGTTCAATAACTCCATTCCATTTTTCAATTAAATCTGGTTTTTCATTTTGAAATTTTAGAAAACGTTCTTTCGTTCGAGGTAAATCATTGCCAGGATCCACGATATAATAACCTTTATCAACATCAATACGATGATAGAATGTTTTTTCAACAGGTATTATTGTCATATCATTGTTTCCAACATTTGTTTGTTGTTCGGATTCTGATGATGCATGATAATAATATTTATGCATACCATCCAGCAGTAAAACTGAAGGCAATCGATAGATAACGATTCGTCGAAACAAAGATGTCATACAATGAAGTTGTTCCCATGGAAATATATGTAAATGATTATCAAGAAAAAGTAGAAGATTTTGAGATGGACGAGAATTTGATGATGACGACGAAGAAGAATTCGTTGTGTAAGTACGTTGTTTAAATTCGAATAAACGTTCTATCAAACGACTTGATATAATTTGAGAATAAATAGATGAGGGTAAATTTATTGAAAGTTCTTGACGAATTTCATCCAAAGACGATAAATAAAATATTGTTTGATGCAGAAAAAATTCAACGAAACGACGTTGCTGAGAAGAACCTAAGCATTAACAGAAAATATTATATTCATAGGTTAGAATTCATTTTTTTTATCGTTGGTAAAAGATGTGATAGTTCAAACTTTAAAAATTTTGTGTTCTCAGAGATAGAAAAGACTTATTCCTGTGAATTCTACTTTATGGTCAATCACTAAAAACTAATAATTGTTCTGTCTATAGAATAGTTGTCGACCTTGTTGCATTCAAGGAGATGAGAAAACTTCAACTCATATTCACTCGATTTTTCTTCGAATTTCAACTTGTCTAAATCGTTTTTTGAAATAATCATAATTTGAAAGATTACTATTATTCTGGGATTAAATTAATTTTAAGGTAGCAAAATTCCTACTTGTTAAAGGTGTAATTAAATCGTCAATCATAGCTTTTTTTCCATCGAATATAGTTGTCTCTGGCAACCACCACCATCTTAATGGTGATACTAAATAAACTTGATTTAAATCTTCAAGAAGACGTTCAAATAAGTGTTCAAAATATCTTCTAATTGCCCAATAACGATTAGGATCTATAATTCCATGTAATGTATGTGTATTTGATTCAATTAAAAAATGAAATTTTTTTATTAATAATCTTGGAAACATAACACGTCGTATAACAGGCGCATAATAATTTCCACGTATTTGCACGGCAAGAATTTGATCATGAATAAGTGTGAACGAATGCAGACATACACATACTTGTTTAGCTGGAAGAAGATCATTAATTAAGATATCTTTTAAATAAGATATTGTTAATGGACGAAAATGTAACGCATCAATATAATGAGATAAATGTTCTTGAGAAACATTAGTACCTGCTGGTAATGGTGTACCACTTCGATCACTGTTGTGACTAAAAGGAAAAAGAGTATTCGAGGAAATCTATCAATCGTCCGAAAAGAAACGATAGTATTTTTTGACATTCCGAGAGTCCTATCGTTTGCTCATGTTTACTAACGACTCGAACCAACTCTAGCGATGATTAGATGTTAATATAGGGAAAAAATAGGCACCAAATCGATTACTGATGAAATAACATTTTACCGTTTTTTCCTTTGATAAATACAAAGTGCATTATATCTAAAACCAATAGCTTGCATTTCAACAATTAAACTAGCAATTAGCCACGGATCTTGATCACCCGATAATAAAATAATATATTCTGCTAAGTAACGTATTAATTTTGCAGTAGGAGCATATGCTAAACGATCATGTAACCGAATACATTGTTGTAGAAGTTTATCGTTTGATTTCGTTGATGTAGTTGTTTCATCGTCTTCATCATCATCAAATTGAAGTTTTCTTTCGATATGTAATGCATCAATTTGATCAATAAGTAATTCAATAGGCTCTTGATTGTTTTCATCTAAGCGCGATGGTAAAGTTCGTGGTGAATTTCTACTTGTAGCCAGGCGATGAAAACTTTCTTCTGGATGATCTTCATTACGAATTTTTTGAATACGTTCATCCGCTTTAATAGCTGCTGCACGTCGTGGTCGTGATGATGTATTACTATTTGCCAGGGATAATGGTGGAAGTTTTTTCCCTGTACGATTGGGTGTACAGATTGGAGATGATAAAGATGAATCGATTTGCATTTTATTTCGAAATGTACTCATTAGAGTCGAGGCTGTTGATGATGAAGATTTATTAGGTGTCTGAGAGAGAGAGAAAAAAAGACAAGAATAATTATTTCAGGGTGTGGTTATGTCACTTACAGATAATACTTTTTGATTATCTAATTGAAATGGTGTTTTTCCTCGTGGTGTTTCGAGTAGTCGTTTTGTTTTTGTTTTGAACGATATAGGTTCATTTGTTAATGAAAGTATTTCTTCGGTTGTCATAGGATTTAAATCAAATGGTTGACCTGTATTTACTTGTGGTGGAGACAGAATATTATTCCATTTGCTATCTGTTGACTGCTGCTGCTGCTGTTGATGCCCTTTGTTATGATTCATTGTTGTCCATTCAGGTAGACAAGTTAAATTAGATTCTTCTGGAACAATGATTGGATGTAGCCATAACGATGATTTATCGAGAATCTCAGGTGATTGATCTTCGATTAACGTCAAAAATGAAAGCCATGAATCAGTCCAAAAAGCAAATTCAGTATATTTGTCCGATGTTGATGCGTTACTATTTACAAAATAAAGTAAGAATATCATTTCAAAAATGCATAGGTACACATCCTATACTGATTTTGATCTGGCTGAACTCAAAAGCATTGTAGCCAGCTGGAATTAGCGTTTCTCCCGTGGCATTTTCTGGACACGGAAAGTTTCGAGAGAAATGATTCAGTAACAAAATTAAACTGCATTCAGTGTATGTGGCTTAATCGTTATCTAGCGATGTCAATACCTCTCTTCACTATTATTTTTGCAGTATTTTGAAGGGTTAAATAAAAAAATACGGCTGCCGCTTAGTGATCATTTTATGAATGTTTATTTTGATTTAATTTCAACAATGGCAACTGAATCAAGTAATAAACTTGTCACATTTTAGTTTGAAAATTGAGTTGAGATCATCCTTATGTCTCTGAAGTCAGTTTCTAATCAGTACTTGCAGGTTGGCTTCACTGAATTTTTTGGTAAAAAATTCTGAGACGTAAATCAGATCAAAATCGATCAATGGCAACAATGATAATCGAATTCCTTATTTTAAGCTTTCAGAATCGATCAAAACATCCTATTGCTTTAGTTCTTCTTCGAAATACCTCAACTTTCTGATAATACCCGTCAATCGATTCTTACTTCCAAATCAATCGTTTTTTATTTTCAAATGATTTTCCATTTCTTCTTAATTGTTGAAAACAAGTCAATCGATATAGAATATGCAGACGATGATAAAGTAATCGATGCCAGTGAAATGCAAGATCATGTTGTTTGTATTCATAAAATAATTTTGTTTCACATATATGACGTATTTGATCATATGAATGAGTATGATAATCATATTCAAGTTTAACATAATCACGCCAGGAATGAATAAAATCAATAAATAAATCCTGTTGACGATCAATACAAACATCTAATGTTGATAAATGATGTGAAAATTGATCTAATTTACGTCGAGCACAATCCGGTTGATGAGATAGAATAAAAAGCTGTGCATTCAGCGCAAGAAAAAATGTAAACCTATGGTAAGAAAAAAGTGCATATTCAAACATAAATTTCATACAAGCAAAGCAAAGAATAATAAATAGAATATCATAGATGATATTGTTTCGTTTTTTTTTGTCTAAGAATCAAGAAGTAAGGAGAGACGAGCACGACAAACATAGATAGAAATGTGGTGACATTGAGCAGCTACTTACGTTGTTTAGTTGTTTTTTTTCTCTAAATTCTGAAAACAAAAACAATTATCCATCGTCTTGTTGCTGATTCATGAAATGGAATTTATTTATTAAAAGGATAAAGTTAGCAACTACTTTATTCAAATGACTTCCTTGAAATCTCTCTGATTCAATAATGTTTTGAAATATATTAGCAAGAATCATTGTACCGATAAAAAGGCTCAGATTATTCTAAAGAGTAACGCATTTTTTCAGAAGGAGTCAATCAATAACAAGGAAAGCTTTCTCTAACTATTCAACTTTAATTGCTGAGAATTGTTCTAATTGAAAAGCGGCTAATCAGTTGGAAAACTTCCCTTGAAATAATTCATTCACGAAATTCGAAAGATGATCAAACATTCTACAGTTTGAACCGTAGTAAATATACACTTCTATAATCGTTGCATATTGTTAAGTGTATGACTTTCATGATCTCTCCTTCCATTTAACTTACCATCTTTTAGCATGTAAATAAACAGAAATTTCTAGGCCAACAAGTAAATAATTTTTTGCGTTTCTATATAAACCAATTTCAAAATTGAGTAAAATTAAATATGCTACTTGAGATAAATAAGTTTGTAAGGCATGAAGTACTAATGGGGTTAATTGAACTTCTATAAAAAATGGAAATAAATAAATATAAAACAAGAAAATAAAATAGTTTGTTTTTACATACGTGTTAATTCCGGTAGACGATTAATATCAACAATATCGAGAGACGTACGTAAATCTTGAGCACAGTAAGATCGACTTTCTTCAATCAATGCAAGAAAATCATTTCGATCGAAATCTTTTAATTGTTCATCTAACAAGAATAACAAAACAAACGTATTCTAAAAGTTTCTTAACTGAAGAACTTTCTTTTACCATCATTTAATACGAGCTTCGATTGAAGATTATACAAATGTGACCGCACAAAGAAACTATCCGCATATGAACATGATACAATAGGTCGTTTTTCTAATGTTTCAAGTGTTTTTTTGCATACAGAAAACTAAAAAAGAAAAGTTCAATAGTTCTGATTCAAAATAAAAATTTCAATATACATTTTTAATATGTAATGCATTTTCTGCTGTGGTTATTAAATTTAATGCTTCGTCAACATCGAACGCTGAAATTTGCGTTGATGATTTTGGATAATCACGAGATGAAACTGTTACTAATGGTTTATATCGATCTTCAAGATTAATCGAACATTTATTCGCTAATTGATTACAAGCTGTTAATATTGTCATTCGACTTGAATGATTTGATGGAAGAAGATCAAGTAAATATCGATAGATTTCCATTGCTTCTGAACACTAAAGTTGTATTAAAAATGATTCCGATAAGAATGATAAAAAAATTAAAAAAATTACATATTGAAATAGATCCAGCAGCGCACCGATGGTATGTACATTGGAATAGAACATATCTATTTCATTTGGATATATAGTTGATACTCGTTTGAGAATTTCAATGGTACACGAAGATGTTGATTTCGATTTGATTATGTCCCAACTTTTAAATAATGTTGACATAATAGATTTTTCAGAAAATTTCCCTAACACTAAACAAAAGTATACATAAAATAGTATATGTATAGCAAACGTTATATTCCTATCGCTACATCGAAATATTTCAATTTTTTTTACGTCATGCTACTTATCTCAAAATTTAAGTAGTATATTCAATTAGTATTATAATCACATTCCTATGTTGAAAAATCAAAACCTTTTGTTTTCTTTTCCAAACACACTGAAGTATTTTGCACTTAGAAATTTCGATTCATCATTTCAATTCTGATTATTACTTTTATGAGCTTCCATCGTCATTGATTCTGCATGAAAAGTTTCAAGTTGATTAATAGCATTATTTTCAGCTGCTTGTCTTTTTTGTTCTTCATAATCTTGTTTGATTTTTTTCGACATCTATGACAACAACATAGAAATCAAACATTCAAACGTTCGCATTTCGTTTTTTTCCTACTCACATCGTTCGTTAGTTTTGAATAATAAACTTGAAATTTAATTAAATAATATTCTGTATAAAGCCATAGACGTTGTACAATACCATGTATGTCGCCTACTGTTGGTGAACATTTACGTAGATGATTTGCTAAATTATTTGATTCATCACTAAACAAAACGAAAATAACTCACATAGAATGTCAATCATAATAGTCATTCTTACATATCTAAAGTATTTCCACACGCTAAATCAAGTTTTATTTGTTCGAGTAAAATTCGTGCGCACAAAAAATGATTTGTACCATCACCAAAAAAATGTTCATTTAATGAACGAACTAATGTGCGACGTTCGTCAATCATTTGTGTAGATTTTATACTTGACAAAACAAAAAAAAAGATAATTCGATTTTTAAAACTGAAATGTATTGGAATTTTACTTGGCATTTCGATATTCGTATAGTTCACATAGGAGAAAATCTTTTGCTTTCGAACATGTACGATTAAATGATGCTGGTATAGCAACATCAAGAAATGAACGTAATTTAAGTTTTGATTCAAAAAATTCTTTATTTTTCTTTTCAACATCTCGTTTAAATTTCAACCATTGAATTATTAACGGACGAAAATCATTTATAGTTGGATAGAGATCAACGATTTGTTTAACAATTTGTATTAGAAATTGTAAGCACTCATTCAATAGACCATTGAGACGATAACTTTGAAGAAATTGTTCGATAATTGTATTTAATTGATTCTAATTGAAAGATAAAAAGAGACACAAATTTTGTCATAATGAAAACAAAAATTAGGATTTAACACATACAATTGAATTTGTGTCATTTGAATTAATTTGAATACGAGTGATAAGTTGTTTAATAGCAGTTTTGTACGCAGACGATGAAGAACTCATACTTGTTAGTTTGCCAAGCAATGAGAAAGTTTCTTTTTTCCTTTCGTTTCTAGATTCATTGTCTATCCATCGAACATACCGGCTGATTTTAAAAAATGAATCATGTACGTTTTCGTAAACGAAATTTTATTTTTAAATTTTAGTCCAAAAAAATTCTATAATGTGAACTCATATTCAAAGAGTTTTTAATGAATTTACAAACAAAGAAGAAATGTCTGATAGATGACGCTATTCTGCATAATCCATTGTTATCTCGAAATTTAAAGCTTGATTATGATTGACCACTAGCTAGTCAATGTTTCTAATAGCAACGATCCGCATTCTTGCTATATCGAAATGATACGTTGGCTTTACATTTTATGCATGAAAACAAACTATCAAGTGGATATCTGATAAAGAAAATTGACACTTACTTTTTTTTATCACATGGGAACTTTGACCTGCACGACTTTTATTTGATTTATTTTTCTAGCTAATCTAACAAAGAGCAGATACTATATATCGTATAATAATGATGTCGAACTGTGCATAGAACGAAAGTTAGTAATGTTGTGTTATTGAAATTTGAAAATTATATAAAGTATTGTTCGTTCGAGAAAAATCACCAATTTATTTATTTGACTTGTAGAACTTGTATTCATAGGAAATAAGTTTTACGAAGGAAAAATTTGAAATATGCGAAGACTTTAATTAACAAGCGCAGTTACAGTATATGAAAACGACTTTATGTAGCTGTTGCACACATATTTTTGCTTTTTCGATGCACCAGTAGCTCATTGAAGAGCGATTTTCTGAACTTGGTTTTCTTCTGCTTGCATAAATTTAATGAAACGCCACATGTAAGAATGTTTTTGGCACAATACAAGGATCATTCGATTATAGTAACCTACAGTGAACGAATACGATGGTGACTATAGAAACAATTTTTGTTTGGTTTCTACCTTCACAAATATTGTTGGTTCTCGAATCAGTCATTGACACGTTCGATAAATGAGTATTGACTAATCACTGTTTTTCAAAATAAGTTAGCAATAACTGTACTGATAAATTTTAAGCATCATTGCGGTTCTCATTGTAGCTCAGTAAAACCGTATTGCACGGCATCAAGACTAGAGCCATGAGTTTTCAGCAAAGACCACGTCTAATCCCCACTATATACAGTATCAGAGATCAAGACATACACGTATTTCTTGATACCGGAGATCGATCTTGAGCTCCATAAACATCCGCAGGGCAATCATTCTGACCATATAAATCGGCGTCTTAGAAGATACAACTGTTCTATGTCTTCTTCCATACCAATAGTATTTTTTTTATTCATTTCGTAAATAATTTCGATCTAAACAAAAACAATAGCTTTTGATTAGTTTTATTATTGAATTACTTCATTTTGATTTGAAATACAGGGGATGGACCCATCGGATGTTTATTATAAAACAGGCGCAGAATAATAACTCCTTCAAAAGGGTTTATTATTCTATGCTTATTTTTTTACATTGCAGCAAATAGTATATCAGAATTAAATAGAAGATCTAATTATTCTTCAGATGCATACATTTTTGAACGACCTTCATAAGCAATTTTTCGTTTGTCATAGATCAAAAATCGTTCTTTACAATACGTTTCCTGATAAATTGAGGGCACAATAAATTTTTGACCACGCGGTGATGGTGATAAAGCTTTACGACGCAATTTATATAGACCAGATTCTAAGAAAAAAGAAGAATTATGAAGAAAATTTGATATTAACAACAGTCAATTACTTTTATGTACCAATCTGTGATAGACGAGACATGGTCCGTTTTTCTTCTGATGATACATTTGATTTTCTATACTTTTCTTCAATGTCGCTAAATTCACCTGTTCTTTCTAATGTATAAATAAATGCTTTATAATTCTCGCTTCTTCTAGCACAACATCAACCAATTGTTTCTTTTGTTGTACTCATATACAAATAACGGCCTCAAGTTGACTTGCCTACTGTTATATCTCCTTGTATCATCGGCATATTCAGAAAATCATTTACATCACCAACATACAGGCCATTCTTCTCATCGGTTGATGATTACAAAGACACTATATAAATGATCATTTTGCGTTTTTCTTGCTGGTGACTCACCTTTAGCAAGTGTTGATATTGATCGACCGGGTTATATTTCATTTCTAAATTTCACAAGGTGATCTATTTTTACTCATTGATTCTTATTTCTCGTCAATGGATTTTACTAGATAGGAACAGCATTGAGACCCATTGTATCATCAATGAATATGCCAATAACAGGAATTTCAAAGTTTTTGAGCAAATGAATCCCATAAATATCGGATAAATATGCGCGCTCAACAGCAAATATTGGTTGTGCTGATTTAATTTCGCGTTTAGAAGCATACACAACACGTGGGTATCTAACACCAACAACTTACTTATTTACATTTGCTATTAAGGATTTTGTACGAGGTTACTACAACAAGAATCACTCGACATTCTTAGCGAATTCTTTTTTTAACATATGGTTATTGTAAATTACAAAATATTCCAATCGATATTATTCGAAAGTTAGCTTTGATCGCGATTATAGAAAACGTTTTTGTCCATGAGAAGAAATTCTGTCGAGCAGTCCTTATGGTGGTGCAATGTACTAAGTGTTTACTTTGACACTGGCTAATATTTTCATGTGGAAATGGGAGAAACAACTTGCTCATTGACTAGAAATATCCAATGAAATCTGCGATAGGTATTTCACATCCTTCATAAAAGAATATAATTTGACTATTATGTCTCATTTTAGATATGTTGGCGATATTTTCTTTACTTCGGGTGATTCACTCGAATCTCCCATGTAACGTTTTTTTGAGTCGTAACGCGTCTCTGAGCGTTTGTAAACGCTGGCACTTCACGCATCAGGACGCATCTAGAATGCAACATTTTCGGCGGCGCAGACGCATCCAGCGTAACCTAACGCGTCTACACTCGTTCAGTATCTAAACGTATCATAACTCGTTTGCATTTGAAGACGCGTTAGGACCCGTCCAAAATATCAGTGTGAAGCTAGCACGACGGAGCTAGCACGGTGAAACAGAGATTCAACTATAAATCTTCTCAGGAGTATTGCCGGCCCATAAAAACCAGACCATTCGATGCAGAATTTAATTCCGGATCGGATGGTGATACTTTTATTCCCCGGCAATACTTTGAGAAAATTCTATCCGGCTTTTCTTGTCCAATTTAGAAAAAAACAAAGGTGTAGGTAAAATTTTTTCCTAAGTATTGCCGGGGAATAAAAGTATCACCATCCGATCCAGAATTAAATTCTGCATTGAATGGTCTGGTTTTTATGGGCCGGCAATACTCCTGAGAAGATTTATAGTTGAATCTCTGTTTCATTGTGCTAACTCCGTCGTGCTAGCGTCACACTGATGTCCAAAATGCAACATTTTCAAGCGTGGGAACGCATCCAAAAGCAAATGCGTCTAAAAGAGAATACATCCTGTTCCGCAACGTTGAACATTCAGGAACCAGTTCCGCTCACGGAACCAATTCCATCTAATTCCGGAATTCCGCCTATTTCCCGTCCATTCCGGAATTCAGTGCACCCGCACTGACATCCACACCCATACTTATGGCAACACCCACCCATACCCATACCCGAAAGCAAAAGAAAAATACAAAAAAAACCTTCTAAACTATGAAAACATTTCGACTATTTGTGTATGTCAGTCGAGGCGTCTAATTGATATTCGCTGATACTGAGAAAAGAAAACTTTTAAAAACTATCGGAGAGTTCTTTAACAGAAACGAAATGATGATAACGATAGCTAGACTCACTCTCAACACTGCATGATTCAATTTTATGATAAGGAAGGAAGTTGTTTATCAAACTGCAGAAAATAAGAAATTGGTATTTACCAAGAAGAAAAATTCAGTGAAATGTAAGTAATAGGTTTTTGTGCTTGTTTTGATGAATACTCCGTCGCCACTTTCAACGCTCTTGGGAAGGGAGTTTGCTGGTGTGCAGAAAATTGAAAGGTATCTAAGCAAACTTGTAACAGAGAAAACCGACAGTGACGACAACAATATTGATAGTTACACAACCAGTTTCATTGATGGAATCAGTAAATTTCTCCAATTCTCCCAAAATGACTTCAAAATCTTTCAAACAATCGAGTTAGAAAAACGCTCTGGCTTCTTTGACGCAATCAAAAATAGCTTTGATAATGTTAAGGAAAAAATTAGTCGTTTTATAGAAACAGACCAATTAAATAAATTAATGGACGAATTATTTCCCATTTTACATTACTTATGTTATTTCGATTTTTCTCGACATCGATTATCATTTGCTAGCACAGCAATAGAACAATTAAACACATTGAAACAATATGAACAAAATCTATTGAAGCTAATCGAACAAATGCGAGATGAAACTCACGTCAATGACGCATTAAATACTGAATATTATTCATTAAAAAGTTCTCGGAAAAAACTTGTATTCGCCGTTTTGGGATGTAGAAAATCAGCCAAAAGTAGCTTTATTAATTATTTATTACAAGAAACAATTTGTCCTGTTGACACTCTTTCAGCTACTGCACGAATTACACGTATCATTTATGGATCCCAATGGAAAGTTTATCTTGAAGGAGAACAAGGTGAAGAAATGAATAACATCAACAGTCTTTATCGAAAGGCAACTGAACTCATCATACTTCAAGGAGCCGATCGAGACGATAAAGTTAAATGCAAAATGAAAGTAATAATTGAACTTCCCATCAAACAATTGAAGAACATTGAGTTGTGGGATCTTCCTGGACTTGAAGAAAATTCTGTTCTAAATGAAATCGTTTCAACGATTTTTCCCGACGTTGATTTAGTATTTGCTTTATTGCCTATCGATGGTGGAGTGTCATTGGATTTTCTTAACAATATTGAGAAATGTTTGACGTACAATCGTAATGCTTCTGGTTTAATCAACGAAACACATGATCATGATCATAATATTGCAGGTTTTCAACAGCAAGTCTGTTTCGTTATTACCAAGGTCGATTCTGTACCTTCGAGCAGTCAAACAGGCAAAAGACGAGATGTTACACTACAAGAGTTGTCCATCACTATTCTAGAACGGATGAAGAATCAATTCAACGTGGAAATTAATTTGGAAAATGCAAATCCTATGTTGACTCCTCGTTTTATTTCTATGTGTACAGAAAGTACACATCTAAATGATTTTCTTCATTGTCTAGAAGAATTTTATCATAAATCCGCAACTTTTTTCAAACCAGTTGTAAATGAAATTATGTACCGTAGAATGAACCATTTATCACAAGTAATATATGAATTACTTCAGTATGATGATATTGATCGTACAATCAAGGCATCGCAACAATTAACAAACATCATTCACAAACGACAACAAAATTTAGAAGATGATTTGAAGAAAAAATTAGATGAGCATATGAAGTCAATTCGAGAAGATCTACGTTCGCATGTAATCAATTTATGGAAACATTGGTCACCTTCCAAAATACTCTTTGCTAACGAAAGTCGTTGGGATGATGCGGTTGAAACCATTAGGGTAAAGTTCAAAGAGTTAATGAAGAAACACAGGGTGACTATTCTACAAAGTGCGAGAGAAGAGATTGACAATTTTTTCGTCGCACTTGACTTACATCCGGGTCAAGAGCAATTGGTAAAGCAAGCAATGAGTCGTGCATTTCTTCAAAATCCTTACAAAATCATCATCGGCCAATATGAAATTCAATCAGCACCGAATAGAACAAGAGAACTCGCCTGGACACAAGCAGCATCCGTATTACCTAATACAATTAGCAATATAGTAAGCCTATGCCTTACTCCAGTTCGTTTTCTTAAAAATTTAAGAAAGGCCGCCGAAGAAACTCTTAGTAACATCACTGAGCCAAACATTCAAAAAGAAATCGATCAATGTTTTGACAATATTATCACAGAAATTAATCTTTCGATACAAGACCAAGTCAAAAAGGTATTAGATGAGATTGAAGCCAAGAAGGAAATAATGTTGCAGGCCAAAAAGATTGAAGAAGTAAATGGCGTTGCTCACTTTATTTCGTACTATGAACCATCGATTACTAAACTGTACTTGGACATTCAACATGAAAAATCATGCGCCAAATATGCTTTTTTTGAGATGTCTAATGAAAAACTTGGTTCTGATGACTCTTCAGTATATGTTGCGCTCTTGGCCATCGATAAACATTCAGAAAAAATCCGTATTGCTGCAAAAAAAGTGAAGCTGCAAAAGTTTTGTTGTCAAGACTTATATTATATAGACAACTATCACAAAAATATCGTCAAACTCTATGGTATACGATGCAGTAGTGAAAATGACGAGTATTATTACATTTTAATGGAGAAACTGGATTGTGATCTCTCCAACTATCTCTTAGAAAATAAAAACAATCTTTTAGACTCTCATATCGACAAGATGATCATGCAAATTGTTAATGGTCTTCATTACCTTCATAACCGCACTCTAATCCACCGCGATGTAAAATCAGCTAATATATTAGTACGCAAATGTGAACCTCCAGTTTTTCTCATCAGTGCTCTTAGCTTTCTTTCTGACTTATCCAGTGCAATGAAAGATACTCCATGTTACATAGCTCCTGAGCTCACAAATGCTGACAGTTTTAAGAACGATTCTACACGATATATAGCAAATAGGTTTGCATGCGGCTATGTAGATAACAACTCGTTAAGTGCTAAAACGGATATTTATGCATTGGGCGTAACTATCACAGAAATTTACGAAACATCAAACATCAGGCGCCACGGCCAGTACTTCAAATTTTGGAGTTCCATAGCAAATCGTTGTTGTTCAAGTAACTGTGCTAAACGTCCAACGTGCCAAGAAATTCTGGTTGCAAGACGTAGCTGTCTTGAGAAAGCAGGTAAGAGTGGCATATTTACTTCACTCTTGATTCAGGTAATTTAAGGAAAGTAGATATAACAATTATGGTGTTATTATTAAATGATAACTGCGGTGGTTAGTTATCTATAAATATTGAATGAATTATTTATCGATTAACCAGTAAATAAGTGAATACAGTATTTATCTATTGATTTGTAATAGTAAATAATTATTGTCGATATATAGGGCGATCCTAACATCACTCGGTAGTCTTTAATTACAAATAAGTTTCATAGAAACAGCATAGAGACCTGCAATTTACGACATTAAATAGAACAACCTTTGAAGAGTGTGCCTGAATAAGATTCATTAGTTTTGAGTAAGACTTCAATAGTTTTTGTTAAGCAGATATCTTTTTCACTGCTTATTTTCATAGATTATGTCAAAATTGTCACAGATTACTTCATACAAAAATGAGCTCATGAGTCATGACAAATTTCAGTGATATTATCAATAGAATTTTCTTGCCAACAGCCACATATTCTCATACAGTCGGGTAGGCAGACAGTTAACTAACTCAGTGATAATATCACTGATAAATGTCAAGTATTAGATATACAAACCTACCTTTCATAAAAAATAGGTTTGTATATCCGTCGTGTTCTTTTGCATCTCTTGCATCCACGAGTTCCAAGATATGCGACACTGCTCATTCTTGAAAGTTTTTAATTTCAGTAATAGAACGTTGCTGATGTAGAAGAAAAACTGTACGCAGCCTGGCCTCCGAAGGATATTTGACGCGTTTGTCTCAGTCTCCGATGCCCACCCGAGACTGAGATCGACTGTCTGGAGTGACATTTTCCGATGGGTTCATACCATTCTGAAAGAGCTCAACCCATAGCCAATCCCTCGACCCATCGGAAAATTTCCCTCAGAACAATCGGTCTCAACCTCGGATGCCCATCGAAGGGCCCTTTCGAGGGTTCCAAGTGGCCGGAATAAGCCTGATAGGAAAAGATTTTGGTCGCCAACCCGTCTCCATTGCCGAACTCTTACCTTCATTTCCGAGCCATCGTCTTCGCTTCCGAGCCCTCGACACCCATCGAAGATATATGCAAAACAGGAGAAAAAGAAGATTCGAGCACATGTACTTACGATTACCAAACTTCCATTGACGTGCTAATCTAAAAATATCTTGTTGTTCTAAGGTGGAAACCATGTTTTATCACGAGATGAATAATACTGAGATTATATTTGGAATATTTCCTAGAATGTTGTCTTAATTTTTAATAACATATGATGTATCCTTCCTCGTGTAAATTAAGCGGCATCGATCCACCTTCTCAATGAGTATCTTACAAACCATAGTGATGTAGAAGCGCATAAAAAAATAGTAGAAATCAGCAGTACAATTAACGATGAGTCTAGTTCGTATGAAATGTTGAAATATTTTCCTGCAGAATTCTAGCAACAATGATTACGTATAGCAGTGAACAGTTCATGAGAAGTGTTAGGTCCTTTTCTTTCGTTTATTCCTTTGAATCCTTCTTTCATACAAAAACCAAACAATTCAATTCGAAAACAAAAAAGCAACAAAATATGTCCCTTTTCTTTCTTTCTTTCTCTCTCTCTCTCTTTCACTAGTCGGCCCCATCTCATAACTATGATAGAGATAAAGATGGCCGTCTTATGTCAGGAGACGTCTCTAGTGACATAGCGCTTCCCCTCCAGAAAGAATTACAAAGTAACGATAAAATACGAGATTGGAACGATTCAAACACCAAGAGAAGACTAAAAAAACGAAAAGAACATAGCAAGAGTAAAAGACGAAAAACTTCAGATAATTCATATTCTTCACTTGAAACAACGAACGAAAGGATTATAAAGAGAAAAGCTGATGATAAAGTGATTCAAATAGGATGAAGAAAAAAACAAACCTTAGCTGCGGATTAAGAATAAACAATGTTTATGATACGATCTGATTGAGTGGTGAATGTAATGGTTGATTAATTACTGAATTTGGTGTGTGAGCATATGGTGGTTGATAATAAGACGTTGTAATTGATGTTAAGCCATTGATACGATTTTTAAGTAGCTTACCACGGCAGGTGATCTTTATTATCGGCCAACAATATCGATAAGCATAAACAAAAATAATAACGAAAACCACAGCACTAACGATTATCTGTATCGGTAAGACATAGTGGGTCCAACTGCTAGATGTAAATGTTTTGTGTTCAGCGAGTACTTGTTGCAGTTCATTGTGATTATTATCATATTTTGTTTCAAATTGAGCATTGACTTTGTCACCACAAAATAAAGCGTTGGTACATGATACCATGACGAATATGAATAAAAATTGTAAAGCAACCATATCGACTGTGTTGTAGTGAAAAATGATTTAATGTAACAGTGAACTGGAAAAGACAACTATTTGAGAAATAAAAGATGCAAAGAAAAACATAGCGTGAGAGTATTTGATGCAAGCAAAGGATTTTTTTTTTAATTGTATCACGTCATGAATGATTATCGAAAATATACACATCTGATATTATTTGAGTGCACTTGAAATTGTTGTAAATTGTCATCTTCGGCGATAAATGATACTGGAGAGAGAATTCGAATAATTCGAACAGGGCCAATGTATCTAGCTTTAAGTTTTTGCCGTTCAACTAAAATTTTCATCCATACAAGATCACCTAGAACAAAAGATGGATGTGATCTATTTTTATCAAAACGAGTTTTTGAGAGTTGTTGTTGATGTAGAATGTTTGCTTGTACTTCGTGTAAAGCTGTATTTCTATATTTTATCACTTGTGTCCAATGATCATATGGTTTACTGAAAACAAATGTAGATGCAGGTGGAGTAAATGGATGACGCGGTTGTCGTCCGAATACAAGTTGGTACGGGCTAAATCCAGTAGAACTGTGTATACCATGGTTGTAAGTATAAACAATAGATGGTAAAAATATGTTTCGATTGTTTTGATCAGTATTACAATATTTGGTAATTTGTATTACGAATGTCGAATTCCACCTTTCAGTTTGCCCATTTGTTTGTGGATGATATGGTGTCGAAAAAATGCGTTGACAACCAACTAAATTTGAGATAGCGTGCAACAGTTCGTTCTTGAAGTGTGTTCCTTGACCAGTAATAATGATATCTGGTGAACCATGAACTAAAATAATTTCTTCCATTAGTATGCGAGCAGTATCTTGAGCTGTATTTGTAGGTGATGCTTTAGCAAAAACATAACTAGACAAACGATCAGTGACAACTAAAACATAACGATTTTCAGAAAGCGAGGTAGTGGTCGGCCCCTACTAATCAATACCTAGTATCTGAAAAACGTCATTAGATGGTTGAATAGATTGTAAGAAACCTGGTGGTTTATGTTGATCTACATTAAATTGTGAACATTTGCTACAGGATTTAATATAAGATATTATTGTGTCCTTCATACGTGACCAGTAATACGTATTTCTTAACGTAGACCATGTATGTCCAATTCCAAAATGACCACTTAAAGGGTGATCATGATAAGCAGCCATTAAGTCTGGAATTAATTTTGAAGGTACATAAAAAAGTTTAATAGTAGTATCATCTCGACCAACTAATCTGTACACGATACCAGCTTGAAGAATAAAAAATTCATAGCGACGATTATTTCGGATTTGTTGAATTATTTATTGAATAGTTGCATCGTGCCCTTGTTCAGAACGTATACGAGCTAGACTAAAATCATATAGTTGATTAACAGTTGGCGCAGAAGAACACGTAGATTGAGATGTAGTTGATGTAGAAGATGTATTTACTGTGGATGAAAGTGGTTCAGTCTGAAGTTTTGCTTGTGCTCTGGTTGTAACAGCATTAATTTCTGTATTTATGACAGTATTGCGAATACATGTGTTGTTTAAAATAGATGATTGCATAAATTGTTCACGATGTAGTCTGGATATCTCTTCCGACCAGCTTTCATCACCAATCGGTCAATCATTATGTGTTACATTTATTGTAGATGGATTAATATTGATAGATGTTGATGGAGGAAAATGTCGTCAGATGTAATTTGTTGCAGTGTTATTTGCTCCTTTACAATGTTTAACTGTAATAATTTATGGTAAAATATCTTGTAATTATATTGATTTTTTTTTATGAAAATTTTCTAGTGGTTTATGATTAGTTTCGGCAATAAAATTAGAATCACCTATATATGATCGAAGTTCAGAAATGCACCAAAAAATAGCTAATGCTTCTTTTTCAATTGTATCATATTTGCGTTCAGTATCATCTAACATACGCGATTTAAAACAATTAATCTTTGTATTATTCGGTGTATCTTGTCGCAAAATTCCATCAATTTCAATATCTGATGCATCTGCTGCAATCTTCTTCTTCTTCTTCTTATTACATTCTCACAAGAAGTAATTCCCCTTCTTTCAACATTAACACTCACTTAAATAGAATAGATACGAAAAGAAGAATGGAATGATTGTAAACGTGACAGAATGGAACCGAGAGAAAAAGAGAGAACATTCTTATGACATGACAGATATCTCATGACATAACGCTCCCTCACTGACAGAACACACACCCAGAGCGAGCGAAATGGGGAACGAAAGAAAAAAATTCAGTAAAAAATAGCAAACCGAATGAAATGATAAAATAAAGAATAATGTAAGAAATGATTAAACGAACTTGAAAGTGGCGCAAATTGAACTTCAGAACATGTAAGATAGAAAAATGTAAGAATACAATGATGCATAAGTGAAAAAAAGAAAAAAAATAATGATAAATTTAAACATTTAAAAATATATCAGAAAAAAACGAAGAAAGACGCTCGCAGCGACTGGTGGTCCAGTAGTGTCAAAGTTGAAACTTGAATTCAGTTGAAACTAGAAAATTTGAACTTTCAACTTTCAACCCATAGCGATATATGTATATGAGTCACGATTATTCAGAATGCTATTGGTTTAAAGGTGAAGATTGAAAATTTCAATTTTCAATTGAATTCAAGTTTCAAGTTTGGCATATATGGGTTGCTTGGATCGAATAAATTGACATTGCTGTGACAATTCATCATGAATGAACCACGTTTCGCATCCATCAAGCCAATCCATCTCACAATTGTTTTCATCACTTTCCACAGTGCACATATTGAGCAAGACAATATTATTTAATTCAACTAATTTAATGTTGAAATAATCTAAATGTACTTCTTTTTTCCAATAATTCACAATTTTGTTCCTCTTTAATACCATATCATAATATAGCATCGTTTTGTCTAACTCATATACACACTCGTTTGCTTGAGGCATAGCATCTTCCTTCAGTAATGTTGGCGCAAACTCTTTTTTAAATTCCTGAATAAATGTTGACCATGAATCCAATACGAACATATTTTCGAGGAGCCATATTCTGGCATCACTGTTTACATACGCTGATATAATCGATACTTTTTGATCATCAGTAAACTCAGCATAATTCAATCCATTTATAATGCCTTTCAGTCACTGAACAGCATCTTCGTTTTGGTTGCCACTAAATATTGGTAAAGTTCAAATGATTTAATAGCATGACTAGCAATTAGCCTCTCAGCGATCTTCTTTGTTCAATTTGAAAACACTTAATCTATCTAATTCTTCATAAATGATATGGTGAATCAAAAACCGGATAGTACACCATTTGCTACAATCTTCTTCTTTATTTCGTCTTCTTCTTATTATTATTACATTCTTACAAGAAATAATTCCCCTTCTTTAAACATTAACACTCACTTAAATAGAATAGATACGAGAAGAAGAGTGGAATGATTGTAAACGGGATAGAATGAAACCGAGAGAAAAAGAGAGAACACAATTATGGCATGACAGATATTTCCTGACATAATAGCATTCATTGTTAAAATAAATGGAGTCAATAAATCTGGATATTCTAAAAATAAAGGATATGTTGTTAAAATACGTTTAAATTCATCAAATGAATGATGTTGACCAGGTCCCCATTTAAATTCATGTCGACTATGTTTTGTTTTGTTGGTAACTTCGTGTAATGGTACAGCTATACGAGCAAAATTCGGAATGAATTTTCGGTACCAATTAATTTGGCTGACAAGTTCATTTGCTTCTTTGAACGTTGTTGGAGCTGGGAAAGCAATAATAGCTGTAATTTTAATACCATCCGATTTAATAAATTGTTTATTGATTGTATGGCTTAAAAAATCGATTTCGTAAACAGCAATAGAACAGTTATCAGGATTGACTTGAAAGTTAGCTTTAGATAATATTGATAAAATTTCAATTAAATGTTTTTTTTTATGTTCATTGAAATTAAGAGAAAATATAAGAACATCATCTAAATAAACCATAACATAGTCCCAGCGTCCATAACCAAGAAAATTGTATTAATAATAGGATATTGATATGATAATGACGATGATCGACTAGGTGTGCCAAATAATAAACATGAATGTACGTGATACGGCGTGTGTGTTACTCGACCTAGAAGAGTATTCATTGGTAATGTGCAGGTATAATCATGAGGATTATATTCTTCTAAATATATGGTATAATTATTTATGTGTAACAACGATGGTGACATTACAATAGATTTGTCGGATTGGGAAACATCAACCGGCGAGAAGTAGACGGTATCAACTGATGATAATTCTACTTTGGCCTGAATATTATATGATTCACGTGGCGGTATATGAATTACATTAATTGATTTGACATATAGAGTTAAATAATTAATGCATTTGTGATATGGAATAAATATACGGTCATTTAATGAGCGTATAGATACTTGTTTTTTTTTCATAATAGATTCGTGCTGCATTGCTAGTACACCAATCACTACCAAGTATAAAATCAGTATTCATGGTTTTGACGACGAGAACATTTAAAAGTGTAAAAATTTTATCAAATTGCAATAATAATTGAACTTCACCCACTATTTTAAGTATGGTTTGGCCATCACCTAATTGAACAATACGATCACATGATGGTATTGTTGAATGATATAATGTGCTCAATACACGTTGGGTGATAAATGAATGAGTGACTTCAGCATCTATCATACGATGTATACGTGATCCATTGACGAGAGTATTGGCAAAAATTAATGGTGGATTGGATTTTTGAATGTTTTGAATTATGACATGGCGTTGTTCGATGGGTTTAATGAAATGCTGTCGAGAGTACTTAATTGGAAAATAGTTACGATGTGGTACTGAATAAGTCGGATATACTATTATATGGCGATTAGTACGGTAACGAAAAAATGGAATAAATCGGTGATATATATTCGATTTTTGTACGGAATAGGTATTGGTTGTTGATGAAGAAAATAATGATGGGCATGACGGAAGGGAGTCGCTACCATCGTGTGACTCGCTTAGTAGTTTTTTACAGATCGACAATCGCGAGCAAAATGACCCAGTTTATTACATAGATAACATCATAAAGGGCGCGATTGGTAATGTAATGCATTAAACGAAGATTGTTGAGCTTGCGATGGATAATGTGGTGAGGACTGATTATAAAAACAATTATATACCGGTCGAGGTGAATATACGTTTGTAGAATAACTACCAGAATACATATTGGATGAGTTTGGATAACGTATAGCTTCAGCCGATTGTGTAGATCTATACAATGAATTGTTGGAGTAATTTATTGCTTGTGTATCATTATCATTTGTTTGATGAATAGATGCAGTAACGAGACGCTCTAAATTTTCTTCTCATCGTGCTTGTTCTAAAAAATCTGCTGGTGTGAATGGAGCTTCACGTAATACGTTTTTCATTAACGACGGTTTTAATCCGTAATATAAATGCCCAAGTTTGGATGCATCTGTCATGTTTGGATCAACTAATTTAAATAATTTAATAACATCTGTATAATATTCAATAACAGCTTCATCATATCGTTGTTGTCGAGTTCGTAAGCGATTCGATGCTAATTGTTTCGATGATGGGGATGAGTATATATGAAGAAATTGAGTTAAAATACATTCCAGAATTCGAATATTGTAATATTTTCAATAAACCATTGTTTAGAATGTCCTTCCAAAAATGTTGAGATGATTTTTAATGCTTGTGATTCTGTAATATTAGTCATATGAAATGTATCAGTTAAATCCTTCATCCATTCGTCAGCATCTTGATCTGGTTTACCAGAATATTTAGGGATTTGTTCCAAGGTTTTACTAAGAAGGGTTGCGACGGTTTTCTCTGCCATGATTAATTCTATTGGGCGATAAACTATTGGAGCGACTGTTATAAGATCAGCAAAAGTAATATCAATATAGAATAATTGTTGAGATTTAGCGTCAAGAAGTCGTTTTGCACCTTGTCGCGCTAACATACATTAATTATATGAATAATAATCAACACCGACTAGTGCACCAAATTGTTAGGTTCTTTTCCTTCGTTTTTTCCTTTCAATCCTTCTTTCATATACAAAAAGCAACAAAATATGTGCTTTTTCTTTCTCTCTCTCTCTCTCTCTTCTACAAGTCGGTTCCATCTCATAACTGTGTTAGAGGGATAAAGATGGCCGTCTTATGTCAGGAGATGTCTCTATTGACATAACAAAAAGAAGCAGGTCCTAAAATGCCACTGATCTATCTAATTTTCAATAGCAAAATTGAAAAGGTAGAAAGATTGATACTAAAATTTTAGGTGCTGACGGTGGGTTAGATTGAATTTTCCGTAGCCTACTTTTGATTAAATTTATGATAAAATATCGGAGTAGTCAGAAATTCTATAGGATTCGAGTACTCGGAGGCATGCCTAGCAGTCAAAAATATGGAGTCGATGAGTCTTTTCTCGTGGAGTAGTCGAAAATTCTACGGGTTCTTAGGGCTCGAAAATAAATCGGCGGATCGATAGAAAACAATCGCACCGCTCGAAATGCTCGATAGTTTACTGTTGGAAGCTTCTAGGCGCGCGAATTTAAAAAGAACAAGAAAAATGGCGCTCAGAACTTTTTTCGAGCCCTCGGCGCACACAGCGCAGGCTTTTTAAGGTTTGCTTGGGTAAGTCAAGATATAATAACTAATAGCCTTTTTCTTTCGACATTCAGAAGCCCATTTAGTTTCTAACAAAAATCATGACACTCACCTACGTTTTGAGAATTTATTTACAGCTACTTCAAATGTCGAAGCAAAATATGAGCTTCTCATACACTAAAGCCATATGCATATAAAATATTACAAAGTATTGATCGAATAGAAGGTTTCTACTGCCATCAGTACGCTCATATCTCAACTCTTATCATTTTACATGTTCGCTACCGTATAGAATAATCAATGAATTGATTTATTCAAAATGATTCTGAACGTTATATTATTTTCATTTAGACTTCGCTCGAACTTTCGTATTAAACAAGACAGTGACATTTACACAGACAACTGCTCCATGGTGTGGTGGTAATGCCTGCACATATTGTGGTAACTGTCGTGATTGGATTTATAATGATGATATTGACTGTGGCAATAATTCCGAGGGTGTATTCGATAAAAGGCGTTGGTATCGTAACCTTGATGCGAAATGTTTTTATGGTTATGATCATTTTCCACCTTATCATCATCATCATGACGCTGATTCTACTTACCATAACGATTCTATTAGGTTTTATAATCGATTTGCTAAGGATCGTGATCGTGTTCCTAAGCTTTCTGATGATAGTGAACGTTGCTTTTATGCTCATTTTGACAATGTTTGCAAGTGTGTCTGACATTAAAAGGATTGTGAGCAGAGATCGAAACGAGTCGAAACCTTCGAATTCGAAATAGAAATCGATTCCATTCGACATACATCTCTCAAAACCAAATTCGTTTCGCTTCGATTTAATTCGGTTCATATCAGAAGAGACAACAATTTACAAATAGCTTATTTTAAAAAAAGAGGAATTTCTCATTCGCGTAGACAATGATCTTTTAGCACTGTCAGGAACTGGTTGCAGCGAGTTTTGATTTTTTTAAAGCAAAAACTAAACAAGCAAAATAAACTTTACTTCGTAAATTGTAGAGCTTTTCGTGCTGCATTTAGTACACTAAAAGAAGAGCTATTCTTCCAAACCTAAAAAGGATTTTCCGCCGGGTGCACGGGAAGACCCTTTAGAGGTTCTGAAAAAACACAGGTTCGGCACCAAACCAATTCGCAAAATGATTAAAAAAACCTTTCGAATAAAAGGTTTTGGAACTGAACCCAAGGAAACAAAAATTTGGAATAACGTGTTTAAACACTCAATCAGGAATCGCGACCGCGAATGATTAACGCCCCACCACACTCACACTCTTTCCCATTTTGTGCTTATTTAAAATATAAAGTCCTGAGGAGTGCTTTAATTTTTAAATAAATAAACAAATAGCACAAAACGTGCCGGCGAAAATTAAATCTCTATTTATTTTAAACAAGTTTTCTTTCTAATTCAAGCACATTATCAATATATTTTTAAATTTAGTTTCTGCCTAATCGATTGCTCAAAACCAAAAGTTGAAATTAGCAGATTGATTTGTATTTTTTCAAGATCTAGATCGATCTGTTTTCAATCAATTGATTAATCTTATACCCCCCCCCCCCCTCCATCTCCGTTGTGTACGACCGTTTACGATTGTCGTACTGATCGTGCTGGGTTATTCATTCCTCCTATGATGGTTTGTGTTTTTCTTTCTCCAGTACATATAACATTCATCGATTCTGTTTCGGCCTATTTTCTTCTTTGATACCAACAACTGGAAGAAGATGCGCAATAAAAAAAGACAACGTGAGTGTAGCAGCGAACTTCTAACCGTAGTAAGTAACTCAAAACAGACTATTTGGTAAACAAAATAGAGAAAGTAACTTTGAGTGGTTGTTATAATACGACAGAGCTTATCGACGTAAAGATTTATGAGTGTAAAGAGTGACGAGGTTACAGACACTATTATATAACTAGTGTTAAGTTTAGCAAATCTCGTTAGTCGTGTTCTTATTACTTCGCCCCAGTGTTTTTCCTTCGAGCATGATAGGCAAATTATGTGCTGTTTTCTCCACGAAATACAAAAAAAATGGTACTATATATTCTTGTACTATTTTTCTCTTCTACAAGATGTACGCATTGTAGACATAACTGACTAATCGATCTTAGTGAAAATGCATATTAATTGATGTTATATTACTATTTTATAGACAGTGATCGACATCGTTTTATTTTTCTTCTTGGTGAAGACATTCCCAGATGTGTGCGCGATGACCCACCACTTACTGGAGTGCTTCGTGCTCAGAAAGAAAAAAAGGTGTCATACTGAACCTTTTAGGGTTCTAGATTTGGGTACCATTTTCAGAACCATTAAAGGTTCAAGCAAAACCTGGTTCAAGCTGAAACTTTTTTCTATTTCTTCCGAAAATGGTTCTATGGTAGTAAAATGTAGTCCACCACACTCAATTAGTCTAGTACTCTAGACTAATGTTTTATCCAACCGTTAATTTGGTGTGCCGTAGAAAGGTCGAAAGGAAAAATGTCGAAAGGGAAAAATGTCGAAAAAAATATGAAAAGAGAAAAACGTCGAACAATACATTTTACCAAAAAAAAATGTCAAAATTCGAAATAAACGAAATAGCGATGTCTACAGTAAATGATGATTCCAAACGCGAATAATTCATGTTTTCTTTTCCCATAATTCTACTAGTCTAGATTTTGCACCTCTTGTAACAGTGATGATTAATATACTTCATATAAATTAAATAAACAACCCCTACATAAGAGTAAATAAATAACTAAAATTCTACCATTATGGCTGCAGCTGTCGCATCTTCAGAAGATGAAACTCAATCAAAGTCACCAACGACTTCATTTATTAATTCACAAAAAGGAAAACAATTGCTAATAGTAAATGAATATATTTCGATTATCATATGTTAGTATTAACGTACACAATGAAACATACTTCTCTCAAGTCAGAATTCGAAAACACTCTTTTCGATCATTTTCCACAACAATATATTTTTTTCGACATTTTTCCCTTTCGACATTTTTCCCCATCGATTTTTCGACATTTTTCCTTTCGACCTTTGGACGGCCAACCGTTAATATCATACTTAATCCCTTATTCCTAACATTAACCCTTAATTCTATCCTTAACCCTCATTTCTATGCTAAACCGCTAAATCATATGTGCTATATTTACCTGTATTTGTTGTGAGCAGAATACAAACCAGCCCTCTCTCCTTTACTCGCACGAAAGGGAAATCGCCGTTAGTTGTTGTTGAGACGATCCTAAACAAAAAAAAGAGGAGTGATTGATACTGTAAGATTGAACTTACCATGAGATAAATTATTCACGTATACCTAAATAGAAAAAAAATATGAATTCATTTTATCATAGTGAACTTGCATTTCAATTGATTATTGCTACATACCTAAATCTAAATACAAAACATAATGACTTGATTTTACCAGATTGACGTTACTTTCTATTGATAATTGCGATATATGGAAATAGATAAAATAATAAGCGCATTTTATAAGCTATAGCGTACCATAGAATTGATTATTAAGACACACCTACTCATATCCATCAATCCAACTCGGATCCTCAGGCTCAGTATCGATGATGTCGGATTCGGATTCTTGAATCTCGATAACCTATTTAAAACTTCCATCAGAGTTGAGATTGGAGAGCAAATAAAATATCTAATTTTACAGTCACGGAATTTTTAATGGACCTAATATCTGGCCATTGGGGGTTCGGATCGAAAAAATGATAACCTTTTCGGAATCCTCGACCTCAATAGCCTATTTAAGATTTATATTACTTAAATCACGTTCCGAAAATATAGTATCTTGCTTCAAGCCAGAACGATCTTTGGAAAAATGGTTCAGCGTTAAAAAAAATGGTGCAGGGCGGAACCTTTTCAAACATCCGGAACTATTGAGGATCTGAGATGGTTCTTTAAACTAGCTAAAACCGTTGATGGTTCATTAATGAGCGAATGAAACCTTAAAAGGTTCAATATCTTGGCTAGAACCATAAATAGTTCCATATGACACCTTATTTTTTTTCAGAGGGCAGCACTCAGTGGATAGGTACGTAAGACCAAATGAATACTTGTACCAGTTGATTCATCTGTTGTTGCAGCACGAGCTTTAATTTCATTTTTAATTGGAAAGCTGGAACACAATCAGGTTGTGGAGCATGACAATGTGATGTTGGCAGCGAGAGAAATGCGTCCATGGATAAATTGGTATGACATCGAGTTTAATTGATAAATGATTTTTCGTTTGAATTATTTGGTTGATGTTCAAAGCGTACTTACCTTTACAATATCGATTTTTACATCGAAAAGTCAATTTCGTCGTTGTTGTACGTTCCAGTGGTGGATTCAGAAATTTGTTAGGAGGTGGCGCTCCTGGACAAAAAAAACAGTTTTTCAAGTGTAGTTTAGACAGAACGACTATTTTCTGTTTCATTTCTGCTGGGTAAAATCGGAAAAAATTTCTTAAGGGTGGTGGCGATCGCCGGATAGCCTAACTAGTAGATCCGCCACTGTTATGTTCTACAGTATAAATATAGCCGTCATGAAGAATCATTGGTTTTTCTTTTATAGAAGAGAGCTGTTTGATTTGAGACATTTTTCTTGAAAAGCACTGTGCAGTAAACGTTGAGATTGAAGAGTGAAATGTTTTTCATTTTTATTCTACTTAGCCCCATAATTAAGGACATTGGATTAGTGTTATCTTTAGTTGAGATTATGTTGAAATTCATTAACTGAGTTATAAATCTAATTTTTTTTGTTCGCTTTAGCTCTAGCATGACTACATTACAAAAATATCTTTTATTGATCCGTTTCCCCAATTAAATATCTATCGCTACTGTACATATCTCCCGTAATTTTTGATTTATTTTATTTTATTTTTATTCGTTATAAAAAATGAATTTATTAAGAGAGAGAGAGAGAGAGATGACAAGTATATGGAGATGAACAGAAGAAAGAAAATTTTCGGCGACGAAGTGAACTCGACGAAGCGTCGTGTGACGATATGTACCAATGCCTAAGAAAGTGACACCTATCTTTTCGATTTTACATGTAGATGTAGACCAATGATGATGGTGCTTAATTGGAAAGTAGTCTAATTTTTCTGTTGTTGTTTTATCTTCATATAATTATTTCTTTCTTCTTGACCCAGTTTAATAGATTCAGAGAAACTTCTACAAGTCAGAAGATATTCAGTTTGGTTCATTTTTTCGTATTTGGAATAATCATACAATGGATGCAAGGTATCGGTCAAAGTTTTTCCTACTGATTCCAAGCAGTTTAACATATTTGGACCGAAATACTTTGCTCTTTTTGGAAAGACTTGCATCACTTTGTCTCGAAATTGGTCAAAATCAATCACTTTCAAGTCTGGAATCACATCTTTCACTGATTGAGAAAGAAGGAATGGCTTTTTTATAAATGGTGTGAGAATGTTGGGTCCTTGATTGGGATTATTCAATGCCAACCAATAATGATCGATAACGAGATCTATGGGTGAAACTAGCATCCTATATGGAAATGCATATCCCAATGCTGAAAATATACGAATGATACGCCAAAACATGTATAGTTGACCCGGATCTACAGGACCAACGACATAGCCTGGTTCGAACAGAACACCTTTCAAGCCTTGAAGAAATTTCTCGCGTATATAATTATGCAACCATTTCTTATATCCAAAATAGCCATTAATCCAATAGAAATCTTCATCACTGTGTTTGTGATCAACCAAATAGTGTCCATAGCTTCCAGTTGAGTGTAACTCTTTGGGATATTGAGTGTCCATACAGTACTCAACAAAATTTTTTGTAATCTCCACCCATGGTTTAAAAGTATCAACTGTGACGGCATAGTTGGTTTCACAGGCTAGATGATGAACGGCAGTGGCTGTTTTCTTGTACGGCTCCAATGCACTTAATAATGAATTTCGATCTTTAACAAGATCGAATAGAACTGGCTCAATTTTCGATTTCAGATTGGATTCATCCACTGAAAGTTCGTTGCTTTTCAAACTTGCTTCAAGAGATGACCAAAATGTTGCAGGATTCTTTTGTCTAGTAATGCAAAAAATTCGTTCAACATTCGCTTCAGCTAAAAGTCTTGACACTAAATGAGTCCCAAGATAGCCTGTGGAACCAGTTAGAAGAACTCGATGTTTCATCTAGAATAATATATAAATAAAAATAGTGAATGAACGTAAAGGTTTTTCCTACAAGTAATACTTGAATTTTATTCTATGTTCATCTTAACAGAACTTTTGCAATGACTGTTCCGAAAATGATTCAACCCGCTCATGTATTAATTTAATTTACTTTCTAAAAATAATCCTTTTTTTAAAATACAGAGTCACTTCCATGTACCGGTAAATAGTAAGTTGATGATGTATTATCAGAAGGTTGACGAGAGAAATCATGTTAACCGATCAGAGGCGTTATCATCTCGTCGAATTTACTCTGTTTAATTTTCGTTTCCAAAAAAGAACATACTTTAAACGAGTAAAATAAACTTGCAAAATTTCGTCAAAATTTATAAAATTACATTCATAAAATTTAAGTCATGCGCATGACATAAATTTTAAGAACTCTGACGCGTCAGAGTTCTTAAGTCTATAAATGCAGCCTTCATTTGTTACCCTGAAAAATATTTTAATTAAATTCTTATACTAACAATTGATAGATAAAAAAATGGCTCTAATTTATGTGACTACACTGAAAAAAAATAAGCACTCTACGAAACTTAAAAGGGTTCCGAGATTTGCAACGAATTCGAAACCATTTTTCTTTATCATACGGAACTTTCGAGGTTCTTCAAGGGTTTCGTAAAGTCTCACAAAACCCTTAAAAATATCGGAGACTCCGACACTGGTTTCGTGAGACTATACGGAACTTTGAAGGCTCCGTACGACATCGCAAAAGGGTTTCGAATTCGTTGCAAATCTCGAAACCTTTTTAAGTTTCGTAGAGTACTTATTTTTTTTTCAGTGTAATAATGATTATTGTATACATTAAGTATACCAAGAAAACTGACTTATCAGACGTCGACATAAACAATGAAACGTAAACAGTGAAATCACTGAAGCATGGATACTCACAAAGAATAGAGTAGCGATCAAGGGTGTGAGTCTGTATTCTCCTATGCATCCACACTTGTGTCGATATTGATGGCACGCTTCGGTGATTCTCCTTCATTCTCTTTCTGTTCTCTTTCCATTGTTCTAATATCTCCCTCCCCTGTCTCTCTTCTATCTCTCTCCTATATATACGTGTGTTGCGTATGAAGTTGGGAGAAGACTAGAGATGTCAGATGACACAATACACCATCATGCCGACGGGCATAGGCGACACTCTCTAGTTTTGTCGTTACACTCTGGATACTTGAAGTAGCCTAATAAACACCATTGCCGAGAGTGGCACAAGCTACTCCAATCCAGTTGCTCGTTACAACACTCAATTGAGAAAGAAAAAAGTCACTGTCATTTTCTCTTATGCTGCATTAAAACCTTTTTTTTGTAAATTAATCTGTTGTCACAACAAGAGAATGTAAGAAATGCTAAAAGAGATTGTTCTATTTCAATTTAATTTCGATTATCGTCTGTATTTTAGATAGACAGTTCAAATATGTATCTATTTTGTACTTACATATCATTGAAAATAATTCCTTAGGAAACGCGTGAAGTCTATGACGTATTCATGTCTTATTTATGAAATCAAAAAATTCGTTTTCTCAACAGTAACTCTTTCGAAATTACTTTCGGCGATAACAATACTTAATTATTATATGTGGTCATGCTAAACTTTCTTTGCAGCAGCTTTCTTTTATTAGTATGTCTAATAACGAGAAAAAAGTACCTGTGGGATTAATGATGCTAAATATATGTTTCGTTTTACTTAGTGTGTTTGCAAGCAGATTCGCCTCATATTTATAATAGACAAAAATGCCTTGATTCTCTTTTCTCTGCCCTCCCCCTCTCACATAATCATCACAGAGACCATGAAGCATTAAATTTTTATCAGATTTTCTTTTTTTTCATGAATAAGCTACCTGTAACGCATTAATATCATTGCTTTGTTTTTTATTTGTGTTACACCGACCGTATAGTGCGGTAAGAGAAGCGCACGATATTTAATCCTCAAAATTTCTTTTCATGGACAAGTGAAAGAAACACACTTTTATCACATATATGACGAATACTAACGATGTGTCTTCATTCCTCACAAAAAAGACTATGTACTTTGAAAAAATAATCAAGGAAACTTTATTCTGTATTTGAATAGCCACTAGTGTTTATTTATATTTACTTCATCAAATACAATTTATTAAATACATCATATCTCGCCATACACACTAAACAAAAAAGGTAACTTTACCGAACCCTACAAAAAGCTTCCAAATGCGTTCACAGGCTTTGGAAAAGCGATTATTAAAATCTACGGAACCTTAAAAGGATCTGATCTCGTGCACACTGTCCGAACGATATCCGACGAAACCTTTCTTAAATTCCGTACAGAGAAAAAAGGTTTCTTATTTTCTTACGAAACCTTTATAGTTTCTTATTGAACCTTTTGGTTTCATATAAAAACATAGTGCGAAACTATAAAGGTTTCGTATTTTCTTATGAAACCTTGTTTTGCTCTACGTAACTAAAAAAAGGTTTCGTAGGAGATGGTTCGGACCGTGTGCCCGCGATCAGATCCTTTTAAGGTTCCGTAGATTTTAACAATCGTTTTTTCAAAGCCTTTGAACGGATTTGGAAGCGTTTTGACACCTACGAAACCTTTTTGTAGGGTTCGGTAAAGTTCCCTTTTTTGTTTAGAGTGCAGTAAAACCTTTCTATTGTGTACATCATTGAGACCGTCCAAAAAGGTAGACTATAGAGAGTTGATACATAATTTGTTATAAAACATTATTACTAGGTAAATACTTATTTATTTATTATTCTGGTCATCTATTTTGTAGAATATGATATAAAATGAGTGCAGAAGTATACTGGACAGAAAAACATTTTGATTCTAGTTAGTTTCAGAATTATTTAAATATTTTGTTTTAAATTTTAAAATGTTTGATAAAGAACTAAGCGAAATATTACATTTCTCAGTTCATTTACGCTGTAAGAAATGATTATTGTTATTACTACCAAAAATCAACTGCTCTTTTTTTGCAAAGTACACTTTTACTTTACCTGCACAGGTAATCGAATCCTAGATAAAATCTACCCACTCCTTGTCCGTACCAAAAAACAGATAGAGTAGCACAAGGCCAAAACAGTATGCTGACATTAGAAAGTTTATATAAACCAAAGGGAGAGGAAAAAATCGTTTACTGTTCAGAATAAGGAGATGTTCATTACAAAAAAAAATGCTTTACATATACGTATTAATAAAGAGAAGCTAAAGATCCCATGTCGTAAAAATCGCCGTGATTTTGGTGATTTATCAAAAAATGAACGTAAAATCGCGATTAATCGAATTACGTAGAAAAATCGGAGATAAAATCCGATTTTATCGTGATATTGAAAAGAAACTCGATTAATCATAATCGTACAAAAATCGAAATGATTAATCGCGATTAATCGGTAATTTCTATTTTTTTAAATGAAGATTTTATTTATCTTCACTTTTTGAAATGAGGATTTTATCTATTTATTTTAATTTCATAAATATAAATATTTTTTTTACATTTATCGTTTATTATAAGTGAATAATCAAGATAAATTAATACCCATGATCATAATCGTCTGTCTGTTAGACATTAAGAGAAATAAGCAATTAAAATTAAAGAAAAAAAAATTTGAGAAAATTTTCTTCACTGCTCCGTTTAATTTATATAAAGTTTTCAAACTAAGATAAATATAGTATGTATAGTCTAATGTATAATACATTGGTCTTTCTAGCTGAGGTATCGAGTTCGTCTCTAATAGATTTCAGATTTAATATCATAAATATGATATCAGATAACACGGATCAAGATATAGGTGTAACTCTCACATAGGGATGTGCGGCGTCAGTGGCAACACCGAAAAAACCGTCACTTTTGTCACCGACAATGATTCTCAGTGCACACTGATAGATTCAGCGCCACTGACCACCGAAATATTGATTACACTGACATCGATATCACTGATGCGCTGATACCATCGGCGTCACTGGTAAGCCAGGCACACTGACTTCACTGATATCTCTTAATTAATTGTTACATAATACTGCAAGATATGTGCTTTAAATAAACAAAGAGTGATCATAAAGTAGAAGCATATTTTTTTGTTTTTGTCGAAGATTTTTTCATTTATAACTTATTTATCTAATTCTTCGACGAAAATGTATTCATTTTCTTCACGTTTCTAATACTCTAACCATTACTTTTCCTGAAAAATATATGCATCTGCTTTATGATCATTCTTGATAAAATAAAATAAAATAATATAAATAGGATTTAATTTTGATAATTAAATACAACTTTCGTGTTAAACAGAAAATCACTGATTAAAATATTTTTTCTATTTCTATTAGTATTTTATGTTCATTAAATCATTGTTTAATGATTGAAATTAAAATGGCTTCAAATAAAAAAGAAAAACATTGAAAAACATGTTGTATTTAATTGTGATCATTATTTGTTTATTTAAAGCACATGTCTTGCAGTATTATGTAACTATTAATTAAGAGATATCAGTGAAGTCAGTGTGCCTGGCTTACCAGTGACGCCGATGGTATCAGTGCATCAGTGATGTCGGTGTCAGTGTGATCAATATTTCGGTGGTCAGTGGCGCTGAACCCATCAGTGCGCACTGAGCGTCGCTGTCGGCGTCTATCGGTGTTCAGTAAATGCACACCGCACATGCCTACTCTCACATAGTCTAGAGAAGAACATAGGAAAAAAGGTTCCCGAAAATGTGGAATTCATTTTTTATACTTTTTTTTCTTAAAAAAACGTTTTCTTGGATTATTTTTCAATATTATAATGTTGAAAAAAATCGGTGATTAATCGCGATTCAGCTCACGATTATCGTTTCGATATATCGCGATTTCTCCGACATGGGATAAAACTGAAGTTTTTTCTATGAACAACAACAAACAAACAGATAACTAATTCAGGCTAAATTGTTGAAGGATACAAAAAAACATGTAATTATAACTAGATGATAACTAGTTATGTCGATCAGTATCCTAACCATTGACCTATCAATGCACAACGAAAACTACATTCTTTCTCTGACTGATATTCAATTATCGAAAATCAGAGGAAACATTTTAATTCAAAAAATTTAATTTACTGTAAGTTTAACTTTGTAGAGTTTTATTTAGAATTAAACTTTAATTTTTGGGTACTTTCTATTTAAAATGAATAAACTGTAGATTGACCCTTCTATCATTTTTTTGAAAAAAAAGTTGTATTGTCAAAAAAGAGTCTAAAAAATGTAAAGGAATACATTTATTAAGATGATTAATAAAATGACATACTGAACTGAATCGCTTAATTTAACTAATATACTCTCTCCTTTATATGTGACGAACTGATCGTAATGAAGCGTCGTGTGACGAATTGTACTAGTACCCTTGCTTGTTTGGGGGAAAACAATTAATATAATGATAAAGAGTTTCTGTTCAACATTATTTTTTTCGATTAGTTTTTAAATTTTTGTTTCAACATTAATGTTTTATATTTATTTTTACATTGGCTTCTTTATGTGATTGAGATAAAAATTAGGTTAATTGCAAAAAATAACTTTTATATTTATTCAGTTATTTATTTTTTCGACTTTCTTCAATTAGCTATTGTGGAAAAACGTGAATATAAATGGACTTGATAGATTGAGCGCATGACAGTAGATATATTATAAGATATTGTTGTTTATTTTTTAAATCAAAACAAGATTTTAGTACCTCAGATATTTTCAGCATGAAAATAGTAATCAATAATTAATTGATTTAATGAAATCAGACTGTTTTTTAGTTGCACAGCATTGGATATTTGTATGTTTAATTGTTTCTCAATCATTTACTTCAACAGTATACATGGATGAAAGTTGAAGACAAGGGGGGAAAAGCGGATTTTTTGGGATTTTCAAAATCCACAAATCCCAAAAATCTCATAAATTGAAAAGCATTTTCCCCTCTGTGAATGACGTAGTTTCGACCTGAAATTCTTCCCATATATAGGTTTCGTGGCCCATAAAAGCTCCTAAAAATTCAACTTGAATATATGTTTCCTTCTTAAAATATTGAATTTTCAAAAAAAACTGGATTTTCTGACCGTGTCATGAAATGAGTATTTCTTGCGCATTCATTATCTTGAGAAGGAAACGTCTGTTTGCACTGAAAATTTTAGAATGTTCTAAGAATCATGAGACTTACATATAGGAAAAAATTCAGATAGAAATTCCATCATTCACGTTTTGGATTTTTGGATTTTGAAAATCCCAAATCCGCCTTTCCCTCTTGGTTGAAGAGCTACTTGAAAATAAAGACTATATAGATTTGCAAGAGCAAGTTGATAATTGTGCGGACTCATATATCGAGTCGGTTGTAGTTAGAGAAACATGAACGACAGCATACTTTTAAATATGTATGTTTCCACTGAATTCCCAATGTTGAATGCCAAAAACTTGGTTCCAAAAGTTCGTCGTTATTTTAAATGAGCAAAAGTTTGAAAGGTTCTTTTTAAAAACTGCTCGAATAGTCAGTCTTTTTTTTTGAGTTTATCTAGGATTTAGAATCTTTTTCAGTCAAAAATTTTATCAAAAAACACCCTTAAATATTATTCGGAAACTAATCATCAAGCTCTATCCAATCGTGTAAAAGCGTAAGCGAGATTAAAAACATTTACTAGAGTTTTACTCTGAAAGTACCTAATATTTAAAATAAACATAATTCAGCTGAAAGCTACTGAACTTTCTTTAAGTTGATGCATTTTATTTTCTCCCATACTATATTTTGTTAAATCTATTTCATTGATAATAAATCACACACACGCACCAGAAAAAAATCATTTATTGTAATTCTTTCTCTCACTCTCTCTCATTTCTTTCTCAAATAAACTTGTATGTAATTTTCATTGTGTGTATACGTCTCATGTATCTAGATCGTTTTTGTTTCAAGAACAGTTGTTTTACTGATACCGTACAGAAGTTCAAATGTGTCCAAGTTAAGGATAAAACAAACAAAAAATAACTATAGAAATACTAATCACTGTGTTATAGAGAAGAAAGAAAACGACAACAGCAATGTTAAAATTGGTGAAATAAGACAATTAGTGCGGAATGTACGTATATATGTGTCTCATGTGAACCGATTCAGCTGAAAAGGAATGAGATGAAGATAGTATCTTGTTATTAGTTCGAGCCAGTTAATTCGCTGGTCATATTAAATACACGGCCAACGCAAAGTAAAAATTCTCGTAATGTATAACGTAGTTCGGGTTTTAAATCGAATACTACTGTTTCAGCTACAATTAAATACATATCACCTAAAAAATATTTGAACTAAAATATACAAAAAGAAAACTTAATGTTAAAAGAATGAAAATAATTTTAGCAATATTTGATTCGATCTTCATTAAGTTTGAGAAATTTTGTAAATATTAATATGAGCACACTTGTCCATGCATCATGATTGTGACGATTATTGATGGCACGCTTCGATGATTATCCTTCCTTCTCTTTCTGTTATCTTTCCATTATTATAATATATCTCTCTCCTATATATACGTGTGTTATGTATGAAGGTGTTACACTCTGGATATGTGAAGAAGCGAATAAACATCATTGCCTAGAGTGGCTGTAAGCTACTCCACCTCTATCCAGTTTGTCTTAATATATCAACCCTGAAACAGGGTCCTTTATTATCGTTACAACGATAACTTTCAGATTGTAATGTTACATAATATTCTAAACTACCATGAGCCAATCTGTGAATAAAAATAAAAATATTTATAAATATTGCTCTCAACATAAATTGTATCGATTTTACTGCATGATCAATGCGAAGATTTTGTTTTCTTTACTTCTGATTAGTTAAGTTTATCTTTCAAAACAACATTCTGGTAAGTCGTACACTCTAAAAAAATCGGCTCTTTACTGAACCCTCAAAAAAGATTCTGGAGATTTCTAAAAGCATCTAAAAGTGTCCAAAGTTTCAAAAAAAGAATAAAAAATTTGCGAAACCTTTAAAGGTTCTTACCGTGTGTCCAGAATAAGAACCTTCTGCTACGAAACCTTTTTTTAAGTTCCATAGAGCAGAAAAAGGTTTCGTAGGCGAAATACGAAACCTTTAAAGTTTCATATTAAAACCAAATGGTTTCGTACTAAACCCTCATGATTTCGTAGAGTTTGATACGAAACTCTAATGGTTTCGTATTTCGCCTACGAAACCTTTTTTTGCTCTACGGAACTTAAAAAAAGGTTTTGTAGCAGAAGGTTCTTATCCTGGGCACACGGTAAAAGCCTTTAAAGGTTTCGCAGATTTTTTTATCCTTTTTTTGAAACTTTGGACCCCTTCAGATGCTTTTAGAAATCTCCGGAACCTTTTTTGGGGGTTCAGTAAAGAGCCGATTTTTTTTAGAGTGTAGATTATTTTCAAAATTGAAAACTTTATTTTGTCTTCATAGAAGTATATTGAATACGGTAAAACAAAGCAATTTATCACTTGGAGAATCTTATACTCGTTAGATTTATTATTCCACAATTGTAATTATTCAATTTTATATTAAATCTCACCGAGATTACGTTAGCAGCTTTCTATTGTTGAATTTTAATATCTTACTTGAGTATTCTTCTTTTAAATGTATCCATTGAATCACTTCTTTTCGGATCACAAAACATTCGGAAAATAATACGAAATGCACATGCAATACTATGAGTTACTTGTGTTAATAAATTTGGCTTAGCTTTTCCTCGATATCCTTCAACGAAAATAAAACAAATAAACAGTCAAACCTTGTACAAGAAAATTTTCGTTCAATTTTTTACCAGCGTTCCGTAGAAGATTTCGTTGTGCGTGATTGGAATTAAAAGCACGAGCAAACATATGTGATTCAATGACACAATCAACAAGAAGCAGTAATTGATCAAGACCCATATTATTGTAGATGCCGTGATCATCACGAAAGTCATCAAAATTTGCAAAATATGTTAAGACCTGTTGATCGGATGAAACATTGACTAATACCTAAAATAAAATAGGAAAATATTTTTTAAAGAAATAAACAAAAGAAATCAAATTTTATTTTTTGCAGTTAGATTAAAGAGTAAATACAATCATAAATGCATATAAAAACAATACGATAAAACCCAATACCCCAAAATCTTTTAATGTTAAATACCTTTGTTTGAAATCAAGTTAATTTCTAGATTAATATTATGTTAATTAGCAAATGATTAGTTAACTAAAGAGTGCAATTGCAATATTTTGTAAGTCTTCCTTTTTACGTGCTGATGGAAAAAAGACAATATCATCTATGGTTTGTATGAGTTCTAATTGTATGATACATTTTATTGTTAATATTTGAAAAATATGAAAATCAGATTGAGTTTCTATTTTGAAAAAGAAGAGGAAATGCTATTTTATTATTCAGCTTCTATTTACTTGATCGTTCAATACTATTCGTAGGCGACGATAATCGATTACTTATATTTAATCCTTGTTGATCCGATATACTACTATTTAAATTAGCGGTATTACCAGCTTGTACCATGCGATTATGTTGACTTGATGCTGATCCAACAATTGAATAATCAAATGAACGATCAGTACGATCGGATAACTATTTTATATGAAAAAAAGAAAATGGTGTTTTAATTTTGAATTATAATACAACATTATTTACAGACACGTCATTGGTTGCAGCTGTACCGCTAGATTTTGCATCATGTCGCCATGTCATGAGACTAAAAAAATAGTTGCAATAGTAGTAAGATCTCCTGAATATTCAAATAATAGCTGCAATTAGTTATTCAGTTCTGGACGTAGCTCGTTAGAACAATAAATATTTCTGCTTGGGCTTTATTTGAAGTATTCATAATTATTTTTTTTTATCAAAGATGAATAACTCGATAGACATCTTTAATTTTCTGAATTTTAAATAGTTGCTGTTGATAACTGTAGCGCTTCAGTTCGAGTCGTATCGATGCAATTATCTATTGTCCTTCATTTGTTAAATTGACTAGGCATGACTGATGTTTAACCTCGCCTTACTATAACGTATGTTGCTCTAGTAAAATTATTAGAGCGAGTGACAAAAATTGATAGTATCAATATTGTTTCTATCTTTCAATTGCTGCTATTATTTTCTACAGTTTATACAAAAGAAATTTCTGACTAAGTGTCTTTGATCAATCAGCTGTCTAGTGTTCGAAATGAAATCTCTATCGGTTCTGTGTGTGAGATCAAAAATCGATTTCATGGATAACCCTATCAAATTAGTTAGCTCTTACGTTTCTGGTAATGTTGAACGAAATATTTCTAATATACAAGCACATGTTCTTTCCCATATATGTGGTGTGAAACGTTGTCCACAAGTTATAACCAAATTTTCGAAGCAGTTTGTTCCTGGTTTTGCTAATATTTCATTATCTATAATGAATAATAGTTAAATTATTTATAGATTTCAAATTATTAATTAATTTTTGATTAAAACACCATGTCAATTGACAATAAAGATTATCAATAAGTTGCGGGGGGATCGTACATAAGTCAATATGAATATCCAAGAATTGAATAATTATATCTATCAGAGATATAGAAGAAATGCCGAAATCGATACACACATATTGCAGAAAACTTATTTTCACTGTGAAAATTTTAGATTTTTAAAGCAAGTCGAGAAAAATCGTTCGTTGTGCTCTCTAAGATTGATATCTGTATTTTATTTTGGATTCTAGTGTAAGTTTGTACTTTCAATGCAAGAAGCTTCATAGATCATCGAGTTTCGATGGCACGTGTTTCATAGCAGGCTTTGTTGTAAGACGGATATCCTATTATTTTTTAGCATTTTTTCTGCGAGTTTCGAACTAAGAATTATTCGAAACAGTCAGTGTTTACAACGGTTTCACAATTAGCCATACTTAATGCCTATTATAAATATTCATCATTAACGTCATCAACCGTTTTTCTAATGGTTGCAATAAATAGCTTGTCTCCGTGCTTGCTGTTTTTGTCATTTTCAATTATATTACGACTTTATATGATTCACTACTAAAATCTATTGCTGCTAACGTAAATCTAATTATATCTTGATAGTTGCTTTTTATGTATAATTTCAACTGAAACTACGCATACTGATTGCATCAGGTTTATTATTTACCCCATGAAAGATCAGATCTCATCTGACGATATACTTCGATTGGTATTCTTTGAAGATTGAAAAAAGACAAGAAGCATAAATATTAAGTAAGTTTGTAACAGTTCTGTTCATATCATTATTTATATTATCAATCATTACTCCGAGTTCTTCAAAATTTCAGATCAATAATTCCATCAAACATGAAGTTAACGACAACAATTGATCCCCGCACAAGATTGACGTAGGACCTTACCGATTACAATATCATCATTACTAAACGAAATTTTTCGATAGATGAATTAATTCATTTCAATATGTAGACATCAGCAGTTACCATATTAGTATCAATACAAGCTGTTAATAACGATCTTTTCCATCTACCTATTGGTACGATCTATTATTCTCTTGATCCTTAATTTATTTTTCAACGTGCGAAAGGACATACTGTATGGATACATTTATTATTAGCTATACAAATAGAAAGAAAATCGATAGATCACGAAAAAAAGAACTTTAAAACATTATAGACTACGGAGATTCATCAGCTATCGGTCCTATTCAAATTCGAACTACAGTGTACTATGATGATTTATAAACATGACTTTAAGTAATATGACTGTTGTTTAAAATGTATATCGTCATTCATTAGGTGATGAATTTTTCGATGATATTCTTCTCGGTCGTACTGTACTAGTTGCACCAGAAATGACCAAGAAAAACTCTAATAATGAAACAGTAGTATCACCAAATATAGAATAGGAGATCAAATTAAATTCAGTGAATGAAGAAACTCAAAAGAAGAAGAAGAACGCAGAAAAGAAACATTTTCGAAAACGTAAATCGATTGATTGATACAGTATAAAATATTTACTCTTTATCGGAAATCTAAAGGTTGTTTTTCTCATATTTCATTTTCATTGTTAGGTTCGATATGGAGTCGATTGAGCGAAAATCATAATAGCGAAAGGTATTTTCACCGAAAAAAAAAGCGCGAAAATTATAATAGCGAAAAAAAGAGCGAAGATAAATAATAGCGAAAATAAAAACTGCGAAAAGTAAAATAGCGAAAACTCGAAGTTTTTTTATTAGCAAAAAGACAGCGAATGTAGAAATTAGAGAAATGTTTCCTTGATAAGATTCGATTGTTTGTTTGACGATAATTCATTGACGATGAATCATCAGGCTGATGTGTCTGCATATATGACCGCACTTGTTCGTTTCACTCTCCTCAACGTCTTAATCTATTATATTCTTTTTTTCGATATATATAATTGTCCGTAAGTGATGTTACATAGTTCATTCATTTAGTCCATTTCACTAACCGGCGATGACTGACCCGACAATACTCTCTTTTACCAATTCAAATCGAGGGAAACGAATGCTTATTTATTCAGGATATGTTTATCGACTAAAAAAGTCCACAAAAAATGTTAAGTACTGGGTTTGTCAATCAAATAGCTGTGCAGCGAATGTTCATACCAATGCAAGTGATCAATTCGTTAAAGCTAATGGACAACATCAACATTTGCCTGCACCCGAACGTATTGAACTTCGAGATCTGAAAAACAAGGCAAAGGAGAGAGTGAGGACTGAAGCGACTTCTGTGCCCAAAATTTATGAAGAAGAATTAGCTCGTTCTAATATCTCTTCAGCTGCTCTTATCCTTGCACCACTTCCTGCTGATGCAAGTAAGTTGTTTATCTATTTTAATTTCTAATATGTCGCTGTTCTTTATAGAATCTGTTTTGAATCGTGTTCGCCGAAAAATAACTCCACCGATACCCACATCAAGTGATTTTGATATTCCTGATGTTTACCGACAAACACTTACTGGTAAACCATTCGTATGTACCGATAGATTTATCAGAAACAAACGAATGATTTTATTTGCAACTAATCAACAACTTGAAACGTTGTTTTCATCTGAATGGATTTTTCTCGATGGGACATTCGATGCATGTCCATCGCAATTTAAACAACTCTATACAATTCATTCCTTGAAATTCAAACAGAGTAAGTCATCGATTATTCGAAGCTTCTACTGTATACTGTCGTTTAGATTTTCCATGTGTTATAAGTCTGCTTTCAGGAAAATCTACTGATATATATCTACAATTATTTTCTGAGCTTGAATGTCATGCTGAACGATTAAATCTCAAATTTGAACCACGGCATGTCATGTCAGATTTTGAAGTGTCTTTGATCAAAGCCGTTAAACAAAAAGTTAGTGTTTTCTAGATTTATCATTAATTTTCATTGTCGGTTTCACTAGTTTCCAATGGCAATGCACCATGGCTGTTACTTCCACTATTGTCAATCACTTTACAAACAAGTTCAACTACTCGGTCTAGGCACAGCATATTTTGAAGATGAAAGTACACGTTTATCTTGTTGAAGTACAATGGCTCTAGCTCTTCTACCCATCGAACTTATAGAAGAAGCTGTACAACTTCTTGAAGATGATTCACTTCCAGAAATGAAAGATTTCTTTAAATATTTTAAATATCAATGGTCAACGCGAGTGCCTCCAAAATACTGGAATGTGTCAACCCTCGAGTTTCGTACTAACAACTTCGCCGAGGGTGAGCTTTTGTCTTTTCTTGAAAAGTGTGCATCTCTCTTTTGTCACATAGGTTGGCACAACAAGTTCAACAACCGTGTCGACAAAACTCATCCTAACGTTTGGAGGCTTTTTGGATGTTTAAAACTTGAAGAGTTATCATTTCGACAACAATTAGGAAAAGTTAATTGTGCTGTGCAGAAGAAACTAGATGGTATTCAAGTTTCACTCGAATACGAAATGCGATGCGAAGCAGGAATCTCCATCCAGGAAAAATCTGCAATTCAGAGAAATCTTGAATACTTTTTATGTCGACATGATGAAATTCATCACTCAGAAAACTCTATTCTTACTTAGCGATACATTCTTAAGGATCGATTTCGATTGATCGATTAATTATCATCATGATTCATTATCTTAGATCAGCTGTAAATGAATAGACTATAGTGGCTAACATATGTTCATGACGTCACTTTAATTATCTTGCAACAAATTTNAATTATTTTTCTACGATTTTCGGTTGGCGAGATCATCGGGTCATAAAACGACGAAAATGATGCGTACGATCTCAAGTAAAAAAGAAATAAAAAAAAAAAACTCGCGACGGATAACATAAATGCTTCTGCTTCGCATCGCATTAAAAAAACAAACTCGCGACGCATAACAGAAATGCTTCCTGCTTCGCATCGCATTAAATACTTATGATAGATTCAAATACATCATCTTAAAGAAAATTTAATTCTCCACAATCATGTTTTTTTTAGAAAACGTTTTGGAGTTTATCTTGTGACTGAAAAATCAAGATTCATGCATGGCTTATAAATTAAACTAAAAGTACTTGGCAATTAATTTTCGCTTTTGTTTAAACATTTTCCAAACGAAGAACATCATTCGAAGCAGATTGTTTTCCTCTATTGAATCATTTATTTTGACTCAAGTTTCTACTTAGTGAAAGCGAAAAAAGTAGTTTTTTAGAAAACTTATGGTGCATCAGGTATTTCGTTTTTTTTTCGATTCTGTCATATACACTTTCAGCTTTAAATTACACTAACGTATAGGAAACATTTTTCTCTATCGTCGAATAAGCTATTTTTTGAAATTTTTTACTTTGGAATTAACGTTCTAAAAAAGAAATAATACAAGTGTCCAAATAAAACTTTTGCGTAGAAAATCAAGGGGCGTCTTGAAAATCCATTAAAGATATATTTCAAGAGAAACATTTTAATTATAGCATAAAGTAGAGTTTCTGGGCTATCGAATGGTGTAATGAAAGTCGAAAAAATCTTTTCCCTTTAATAAGAAATTCACTTTACAAGATTTGTGTAGTGAGTGTTCAAAGAAGTTTTTTACATACTGTATATATATATATATATATGTATAATATTTCAGATCGATGATTTTGAGTGGAATCGAGAAAAACGAGTAACTGAGTTGATTAACCGGGTTTGTGTGTCCCCAACCACTGACTATTTTTCACTACTCTCGAACTGTACGTCATTCATGTGAAATATAAAATCTATACATTTGATAATATAAATCTATGAGTATTGCTTGATTCTTATAAAAAATTTTAAAGCCAACAAATCTTTATTTCTGAGATTCTTACTTAATTTACTCAAATGAGTAAACCAACAAACGTTAATAATCAGCGAAATTGAAAATTGAAACTATTGGTTCATATAATAAATCGCATAGAATACTTTAATGGTTCCTTTCCATTATTAAAACAATTGAAAAGTAAATATACGTTGCAATAGTCCCAAAACTCTATAATATATTTTTCATGTATCATCAGGATCGTGAAAAACGAAAATATACGAGTATTCAAATAGAAATAGTTTATTTTGAATATATAATCAAATAGCATTACATGATGAAATAGAAACGATGAGGGACTATGTCTTTTGTTTGATCGATAATAATGCTTCTGATTACATTTTTTTTGTTACATGACGTTTTAAATGTTGTGATAAATGATCGGAACGAGAAAATGCTCGATGACACTGTTTGCAGGCGAATGGTTTTTCACCAGTATGCTTTCTGAAAGTAGAAAATTTGACTGTAGTGTATTTTTTTGAGATTATTTTTTACCGAAAATGTCGTGTTAATTCATCAGATCTTCCAAATTCCCATCTGCAGTCTGGCCAAATGCATTGATATAGCCTAACACCTGGATGTTTTCTTTCGTGAGCACGTAGAAGTGATCGTTTAAAGTAAGATTTCGTACATCCACTATATGAACACTTGTATATTGTTTTATTTTGTGGATTTTTATTCAATGACGTTTTTCGTTCTGTTTTTGATATTTTTGAGCGCTTCCTCTTAGATATTTCAAATGACTGCGTAGGAGACGATGATGGCTGAGCTTGCATAACTGGCGTAGATTGACTTTCAGTAGCGAACGAAAGAATTGAATAAGGTGATGGCAATGAGAATTCTAAAGAGGATATTGCTTGAATGTCGCTTTTGTTTTCAATAAGTTCTTCTTTAACAATCGCAATGTTATTACTTGTATTAATTTCAAGGTTAGACGATAATATTTCATTATTGCTTATATTACGAAAAGAGTTTTTTTTTTCTTTTAGAGCTTGTTCTTCTTCTTGCTGTTGTAGTTTCATGAAAATTTCGTACGTCATAGGTTCAACATATTCTTTATTCGAAGGAAGATATTGTACATAAGTCAAGGAATCATCCAATGAATGATTGAGTGGGTTTGAATAGTTTTGTGAAAGTGAATATTGATATGGAAATTCATCGAGCGACACTTTTGATTGTTGATGTTGAATTTCACTGGGAAAGAAAGATGCTAACGAACTAAAATTAGATGAATCAGTTGATAAGTGAGACATCGATTGAGTTCTTTTGATTGATTCATCGGTTGCAGCATAATTACTATCAATATCATATGCAGAAATCTGGTTAGAACTATCGAAATATTTCAAATGAGTAAATCGATCGTACGTATTAGACATCTGAAGTCGAGCCCGTGAATCATTGTGATAATATGGAGTGTCACGCCATAATCGTTCTAAATTATTTGTATTCTAAAATTTCAAACAACAAAAAAGAAAAATGATGCGATATATTCAATGTTTCTTTTTAGTAAAACATTAAACTTACTTGATCTAAAAATTGTGGAAAAGAACAATATTCTGATTCATAGTATGCATCATCGTCCCTCGTCATATGTTTTCGATAAATAAATTTTTTCATAGTAACTACTCGTATGAATGCTTCTAATCTTCAAATAAAATATTCTGAATGTTTATATGTATAGGCTAAAATCAGCAAATATTTAGTTCAGCCTTTTGGTACATATATAAATGACGTGAAACGAATAGACAGACAGTTTCGTATGCGTCGTATGCACCCTTCTAAGGATCAATGTATACAGATTCAAACATTTAAAGGTAGCAGATAAAACAAGCATTACCCAATGAAGCGTTATAGTTGTCGATCACTTTTTGAAATAAAAGTTGCATCTGCATTCGAAATGTTTTTTTACATTGCTTACGCCTTCATATACTGAAACGAGAATATCGGTTAACAACAGTACTCAGATGGTCTCTGATTTTTATTCTTTACGTAAGCATCCTAATACTCTTTTGTTGTTTTACTTCTAGTGATTTTCTTTTCTCATTCATTTTCATCTTGCTATCGTTTATTATGCAAGCACATCAACACGGTTATCAGGATACTCTACTGGGTCCAAATAGAACCATAGAACTATCATTTATCAAAGCTATTCTTTTTCTTCTTTGTGTGCATGTTTGAAAATTTCTTTCTGCTCTTGGGAGATTCGTTTGTTTAGACATAAGAGTAAATCTGGAGTCTTCTACTATGATGGGAACTTGATAGTTTTCTTCATAACATAAGATACCATTGGTTGTCATTGATTTTTGCATGTTTTTCATTTATGATACGACGTAGAAAGAAAGGGCTTTCATCTGTCTATACAATAAGACGTCGATCGTAAGAATGTATTTTTTACAGGTGAGGCAAATTTTTATTGCTTGGATGATCAAATGAAAACGAGAAAAGCCGATTCAGATTCTAATCAACAATTAACTTCAAGTGGATACGAATTAAAACAACATACGACTTTTTACGTAGAAAAAAAACAAGATACAAAAATAAATTTGGTATTCAAGTTATTTTCTATATAAAGTGAAAGGTTGGTAATTACATACTATTTATATATGTCACAGTTGACATGAGAATTTCAGTTGAGATTGGAATGCGCGAAATAAAATTATTTGAATTTTTTTTCCCTGCTCGTGTTTCATAAAATAAAATATATTTAAAAGGAAAAAAGATTTTACTATTAAATTGAATCGAATGAATGAAAGAAATTATAGGTAAATGATTACCTTGTGCATTATG